AATTCAAACGCTTGAACTTGGGTTCTTTAAAACCCAGAAAGACCTCCACAGATATCGTGAAATCGCGGCCACTGTGAAATCAATTAAGGTAACCCTAATTGCTCCATCGATTCAAGGAAATCAAAATCCCGTGTCTTCATCAAAATTCAATGCTTAGGAACAGAACGTACGGCTAACAAATCGGGTAGAAATTAGAATACAAGAAAGAAAAAAAAGCTTACCGGAAGCGATGGAAAGAAGACGATAAGGGAAGTGAGGGAGCTCCGTAGACAGTCGATCCAGAGCCTCCGTCGCCTCGAGGATAGACACGCCATCGATGGAAGTAAGCGTCTGGTCAAGAAGCCGAGCAATCTGAACTGAGTCGTCGTCGGCGACGAACATTTTCGTTTCTTTTTTGAGTTTTTTTTCCCTTTTTCTGACAGAGGATATTTTTTCCCTCCTGCCTTCTTTATTCACTGATGAATTGCGAAACACCAGTGGCGGGAATTATTTAGGTTAGTTTATATTTCGGAAAAGTAAAAATAGAAAGTATCTGACGGGTTAATTCCAAATGATTTATAATATTTTGAGTTTCATAACATTTTGAGTTTCAAACAAATCCATACACGAGAACAAGTTATTTTTGAAACTGTTTTCTGAATAAATTTAATTCAATTGTTCAAGACTAAATAATAAAATATGAAATGATACAATATAAATTTATCTTTATTTAACATGAATAATCATATTATTAATTGGTAAGCAAGTTGGGTTGTTGTTGAGAGTTATCATGATTGATTATCATTTATCTTTCATGTAATTTGACTTAAAATACTCTTAATGAAATAATCGATTTTATAAAATCATTGGTTTAGTTGTTTAGATATGGTTCAAATTTTTAAAGGGTTTAACTACTTGGTTTTGTTTAATTTTATCACGGTTTTGTCATATTGTTGATTATTATCAATTCGGTTTATCAAGATTATTGGTTAAGCTAGGTCAGCGAGTTAGTGATGAAACCTAAGTCGTTGGGAGGCTATATGTATACTTCTTTGTCTTGAAAATCAGAACCATGCAAACGTTGTTCGTAGAAAACCCTAGGCTCTCCAAAAGCTATATATGCTAACCAATTTTCTCATTCTTCTCATTCATTCTGCACCGCTTAGTTTTAGATTTCCACCCTCTAGGTTATCGTTTACTCTGTTTTTTTTATTGCTATTAATCCTACATTGATCATAGTTTTGTCTTCTCGTATTTTAACGTGTTTGTGCAGATCAGTTTATAATTATTATCTGGAATTACTTGCATGAAGAGCAATATCAACATCATCATGTTTGGTAAGTTTTTAGTGTGTATATTATTTTGTTGCGTTTACTTATGTTAGATTTCAAGTTTAATAAATCTATTGAAGCTGAGGTGAAAATTCATGGGATTTCTTAAGGCTGGTGGTTTGGCACGTTAAAACGTGCATATTTGGTTTTGTGTTTTGTTCCTACGACAACTTCGCTGGTCCTTACTGATTTTGCGATCGCTTCACCTATAAAAAAAATTGGTTTTGTATGTTGGCTTTTTTTCTTAAAAGATAACAAGCTTTTTTATTCTTTTGTCTTTTGTTCATTGGCCGCTGTTTTCTAACGATGACGTTAAATTTAGTTTCAATACTGCAACAAGTACGATGGTTTAATGACTGCAGGAATCATTGATCCAAAAACGTTAGTTTTCTTTCATACAAGTACAATGAACGTGATTGTAATGATTTTGCAATAGTTAAGAGCAAGTACAATGGTTTTTAACAATAGCGTGTGAACTGAATTTTGGAATCAATCATGAAACCATAGATTGCAAACACATAAATAGCTAATAAGGTCTAGATCAAACTTTGATTATCATAATAACTTGGTTAACAACAAAAATCAATGAGATTTGTTTTGGAGATTGATTTGATTCGTAATCTTTAGATCCTGGAACAGTTTGTTATTCTCATATTCTGGTTCTTCTGCGGCTAACTGCAAAGAAGAAAAATAAAGATGAAAAGATGAGGAGGTTGGAGAGATGATGAAAACAGAAAGAAACGGGATAAGCAGTGGGGAAAAAAAGAATAAAATAAAAATAATATGAAGGTGTAGGAAAGAAATTAAGAAGAAGAAAAAACATGAATAGTCCCACACCCCTTCGTGTATATTGTTTTGTATACCTCTTACTTTTAGAATAATAATATTATCATAATAACTTATCACTTAGCTTTGAAGCAGAAAATAATTAGCTAAATTACAGGGACGAATATGTTAACAAGCAAAAATATAAGTGAAAAGAGAAGTCTATACATGAATGGTTTTCTAAAATATCAAAATAGTTATTCCTAAATCAAAATGAAACCTAAGTTGAACTCTTTTGTTTGACATCTCCTCATTAAAAAGATCGACATTTTGTTGTTAGTATTTTTTGGATTTACTGAAAAAGTGAATGAAAAGTTTGTATGATATATAGAAAGAACATAAAAACTCCTTTAATTCAAAGAATTTGTCCTGAGATTATCTACAATTCTAAAACACAAATTACAAATAAGTGTTACAGAAGTTTCGTTATGATAAAAAATACAATGGATTTTATCATAAACATATATGCTTATATTAGATTACATGTACGTTTGAGTATTGATAGGTTATTAAATGATAATAGTGATAAGAGTATATAATAAAATGCTCTTAAATGTACTACAGTTCAAAAGCAATAAACCATCAGTGATCAATAATAAGTTTAATAAGATTAATAAAAAGATGAAAAAATATGTACATCAAATAATTATTTATTGAAAAAAAAAGATTTTAAAATTTATTGATCAAAAATTAAAAAATACTTCTTTTAATATGAAAAAAACCGAAACATATCTAAAAAAATAAAGAAGACGGCAATGAATAAAAGTCAGAAAAAATAGAATATACTAAAATGAATAAAAATTAGAAGAATAATAAGAATATAAATGACAAAAATGATCAAAAAGAAAAATGACCACAAAAAGAAAAAAAAGAAGAAAATAATAGAAAAAGAGGTAAAAGAAGAAAAATAAAGAATGAAAAATATGAACATAGTAGAAGAATGAGAAAGTAAAAAAACCAAAACAGTAAAATGTTGAAGAAAATGAAGGATAAAAAGAGAAAAGAAAAAAAGTCTAGCTATATTGAGTCAATGCAAAAATCAATTGGAAAATGAATGGATTGGAGATGGAATCTTTTGGGTAAAAATTTCGAAGAAGTGTATGGTCAATCATATGCACTAGAGTGTAATCCATTATACTTTCAAGGACGAGCTATATTGAATCCAAAAAATTACGATGTTAATGTCAAAATAATGATTTTTGTATATATTTTGTTGAATTTAATTTTAATTCAATCGCCGACTTTAATCAAATGGTCGATTCATATGCACATGTTTTAATATATATTTTATTGAATTTTATTTTAATTCGCTTGGTTTATTTGCGATTATGAATATAACAAACCAAAATTTATTATTATACAGAATCAGTACTTATTACAACATTCACTATCCGGACACTATTTTTACAACAAATCTCACACACTCTAAATGTTCACAAGTTCCCTTGTGATGACGTATTTCAACTATAATTTGATCATTTTTACACTGAATTTTATTTCATAACAAGATTAGATATATTGTAGAATATAGGATACAAGACAAAAACCGACAAAAATATTTTCAAATAAGATTGTATTCACGAGGTACTTTAAAATGAACAATAAAAATCAAAACAATTTCTTAGTAGATTCTTTTTGCATAGGCAACAATCGTGAACCAGTACAGCATAGTACAACATACTGTGATATTTAACTTTGCTAGATAATGTAAGTATATTGCCAAAAGGCACATTTGTCTAATGACACTAAGTTCATTTACATAGAAATTTTAATTAAAATATGATTTTTTTAATAATGTTAATATATTTTTTTAAATTTTTTAGTTAAATATAATTGGATAAAATGTGCAACACCACTCATGTTTGGATGAGTTTTCATTATTTAAAAGAGAAATTAGTTCTTACAACTTAACTCTATTATATTCTTTTAGACATCTTGGTTTGAGTGGATAAAGCTACAATTGATTTTTCGTCCAAAAATTTATTTGTCCCTAGCGCTCTGCATCTAATTATAACTGTATTTTTTTAGCTAAATATATTGCTTGCCGCAGCTAACATATTGTAAAATAGAAATCTTTTGTAATTGTTTATTATATATATATATATATATATATATTAAACACCAAAAAAAATGATAAAGAAGTACGTGTAACAAAATCTCGCCAAAAAATTATTTATCTGCGCTGGTGCGGGCGGACCACCTAGTATTAATATATAAGCAGTGAATTAATTCTGTCTGTTAATGTATGTCTAAGTGTCAACTTTTAAATAGTGTTAACAAGTTTCTTAATTAGTTTTTTTTGGAGTTTTCATTTAAATCAACCATATACCATAATTTATTTTGCTGTGTATAAATTTTTTTACCGATACTATATTTTAGTTACCTTAGAAAATATGCTAAACATTACCTTAGAAAATATGCTAAACATAACTATATATAAGTATTGTCCCATGCAAAACTATGAACTTACCTGGTTTTTCTTGTAGTTTGATTAAATAGGTTGATGAAGTGGACATACACATACATATTATATAAGAAATAAAATCCATAAGACGTGTCCAATAATGTTCGGTCATTCTACTTTGCAGTATTAATTTTAAAATTGACCATGCATTAGATTATCAAATTAAGAAAAAAATCACAAAAAACTAAACTACATTGTACATACCATACAAAATAGGAAGGAAAAAAACACAATTTCAATATGATGTTCAATACTGTGTATTTACAATATGATAATAAATTTACAAATATACCATACAGAGTTGTTTTTAATTTAATATTAATTCTCATAAATCCTTGTAGATAGAAGGGAAAGTGAGACTACATAACAGCGAGAGAAAAAGGAAGAAGTAGAAGACAACAATGACGAGACTCTTCTTCTTCTTCGCCTTCCTCTACACAGTAACAACTCTCACATTTCCGCCATTGACAGCCTCAGGAGCAACACCGTGCCGAACATTATGCGGCAACATCCCAATAAACTACCCGTTCGGCATCGACGAAGGCTGTGGATCTCCCCAGTTCAAAGGAATGTTCAACTGCTCAGCCGATCTGTTCTTCCTCACTCCTTCCGGAAGCTACAAGGTCCAGAAAATCGATTACGAGAAGAACACGATGGAGGTTTTCGATCCGACGATGTCGACTTGCTCGATCCTCCAGCCTCACCACGATTTCAAATTGGCGGATATCCAGAGCGCCGTCATAAGGCCATCGTACGACACCGTTTTCGCACTCTTCAACTGCTCCACCGACTCGCCGGTGTACAATCGGTACCGGAATCTCTGCTTCAATGTCTCCGGCCACTCCTGCGACGAGCTTTACAGCTCCTGCACTTCCTTACGCATCTTCAACACCACTTCGCCCACCACCACCGGTATGAAATCAGTTTTGATTTTTTTTTGTTTTGTTTTTTCTTGATTAATTAATAATCCGAACGATTGAAATTCAAATTTTATAGTTAGCCAAATTTTCCCCCAAAATTGATTCAATTTCTCAAATAATGAATCAATTTAGGTAGAAATGTCTTTGAAGTGGATTTTCCCCCAAATGTGAATTTGAAAGTTTTGTTGATTAGGTAACAGTACGGTGCGTACGACGACAACGCCGTATTGTTGTTTCACTAGCTTCGATACGGTGCGGGTGATGAGTATGAACATCTTGGATTGCTCACATTACACGACGGTGATTGACGGTGGAAAAATGAGAGGCGTGGCGCCTCTGGATTGGTCGTACGGGATCGAGCTTTCTTACTCGGTGCCGGAGATAGGCTGTGACCGTTGCCAGAAGTCAGGCGGCACTTGTGGTTACGACGCCGAGACGGAAATCTTTCTTTGCCAATGTCCCGCTTCCAACAACAACCCTACAAGAGAATGTGGTAATTACTGTACTAATCCCTCTGCTTTTTAGGTTTTTCAAATAGAGTGGGAAACTTTTGCCCTTCGTCAAAGACAGCGCAGCAAAACTTGTCTAGATGTAATAAATAATAATCTAACTGTCTGCAGTTATCGTTTGTCACTGATCATTCCTGGTTTTTCCATTGCATCTTTAGAAATATGTTAAGCTTAAACGTATTTATTTTGTCTATTTCAGGTGGAGGTATGACTGATAAAGGAGGCTGCAGCTCTACAAGCACTAATTATATAACGCTTCTCTTGGCGATGCTAATGTATTTTATTTGCGCTATTTTGTGATATATTACTTATGTCAAATTCTCAGAAATATAAATTTTATTAACCTATGGATTTTTTGGGATCAAAATTAATCTATCATTTCACTTTTTTATAATATTGGCTCATTGTAAAATGAAATCAGTTAGTCCATGAACCATTTTTAAAAATTTACTTTTTAAGTTAAAAATTGATTTTATTTGAGTCATGGATCTGGAGTTTTATTTTCTAGTTGTGTATCTCTATCAGAAGTTTACACAGTTTTAAATTTTATATTAGTAACGTTGGAAATCCTGTAATTTATTATAAAAATATAACAATTAGTAGTAATATTTATATCTTAGCATCATCCATTAGGCATTTGTTGGCTGCAGTCACTTCTGAACATTTGATAAAAACTGTAAAGATGTTGGATCTACTTGGTAAAATTTGGTATATGAGCTTGAACCTCATTTTTTTTCATTAAAATATTTGGAAGCTTTACACTCATAGCAGAAATGAAATGCAATGAGATCTTTTCCAGACTTGGAAGGTCTTGCTGTGATATATGTTAATATGGAATCTCTTGATGATTTGAAGTTTGAGATTCCAAGCTGTAAAATATATCAAAATATCATATTACAAGCAATTTTTATCATCTGAAAAATCGCAATCAACCGTAGAAAAGCTGACAATTGATAGATATGACAAAATAGAATAGTTTTTCAACTATAGTTTAGGAGGAACTCAAACTATTGTAGAGTGTTTACCCAGTCTACATTTTGTTTCGCTAATAGATCTTCCAAAACTAAGAAAATTGTGCAGAGATATGACAGTTTGGAGACGATTGTAGTTGAAGAATGCTAACATGTTAATAGGTTTGCTTATTAGCTTGGTAAATACCCATAAAATCAAAGTAATAAGAGATGACAAAAACTTTGATGGTTCAAATATAATATAAAAGTTTGTAAAATATACTAGTTTGGTCACCAAAAAAGTTCCAAAATTTATCAGTCTAGCTAGGTCTTTCAAATGTGAGATTAACGGCTAACAATTTTTGAACATTACACTTCTTAATTGATTTATTTATTTTTTTGGACCTACGACATTTTATATTATTGCAAGTTTGAAACTACCGCCACTTTTGTTGGTACGGTGGGGCCGCTAAGCTCCCTTAAAATCCAATAATATCATTGTAACCACTTGTGTTATAATAAATATGGCATAAAAATAAAAATTTAAAAACTTTAGAAGCAAATTCGTTTTTTTTAAAAAAAAAAACCAAATTTGAAAACCAAGATAAGAATAGGGCCTCAGTCGTATTATTGGAGAAGTCAAAGGGTTTCATCGTTAGCAAAATAAAGTGTCTAATTTTGAAAAACCCCTCCCCCCAATTCAAATCTGAGCTACAGTACTGTTTCACTTGAAACTTCAAAAAAAGCTGGGTAAGCATTAATTTCATCCTCAAGCTTCTGACCAAGTCTCTTACTGTTCCAATATGAGCAAACCGAGCATTTGAAGCCGAATCCTCTTCTCTAATTCTTTCCGAATCCGTGCATGTTGAAAGACAGTACAAGCTTGTGCTCGATCTATCATGCCCCGAAACGTTCCGAGAATCGAGATGCCGGAATCCGAAGAGAACGAATTCGCGAGCTCGTCTCTGTTTTCGCCGTCAAGAGCTCCTCTGAATTCGATACCGGATCCAGGTCAACTGCAGAAGACGAATCATCATTTATCCGATTTAGATTTGGTTCAGAAATTGGAAGGTACAAGAACGCAGCAAAATCGAGCACTGGGTACGGAGAAGAGATTCGAAGTTTTCGAAGGTAGAGCTGGAAATGCGAGTGGTACGCATGATTCGAACCCTAAGATTGTTGGTCGTAGTGTTAAATCTCGGTCGGAGCCAAACTCTGCGCAGAGTACGCCCACTAGGAACGGTGCTAGGGTTTCTCTCGGTGGAGGTTGTGTTACCGGCGCAAGAGTTGTTCAGTCTTTCGGTGGAAGAGGAGGAACGAGTTCCTTCTCGAGGATCCCAAGGGGGATTTCAATGGCTGATTCCGTTAACTTTGCGGAAACAACTCCACATTTTGAGCTCAATGAAGATCATTCGTTTTGGAAAGAGCACAATGTGCAGGTTGGTGCATTTGTTTAGGGGATTCTCGATGAATTTGGTTGTTTGAAACTTACTAATTTTAGGCATCCTTCTATATATGGTGTAGGTTTTGATAAGGCTTAGGCCATTAAGCACGATGGAAAAGGCAACTCAAGGATATGGTAAGTGTTTAAAACAGGAGAGTCCGCAAACATTGGTCTGGTTAGGCCATCCAGAGACCAGATTCACCTTTGACCACGTTGCAAGTGAGACAATATCTCAGGTAAAGCCTCATTTCAAATTCATGTAGCTATACTTGAATGCATACTATAGCTAGTTCCAATGGCTTATTTTAGTGCTATCACAATGCTACTCTTGCCTGAATACACTGGTGATCTATAATGTTTCTGGATGTGTCTCTTGTTGAATTGTCAGGAAAAACTATTTCGTGTTGCTGGACTGCCCATGGTGGAGAATTGCTTGTCTGGTTACAATAGCTGTGTGTTTGCCTACGGTCAGGTGAGATCATAAATGGTGGCGTTTTGCTGCTTATTAGAGTTTCTATGGTGCAAAATATTGAAACTTTGGCATCCTTCTCATATAGACTGGTAGTGGCAAGACCTATACTATGATGGGAGAGATATCTGAGGCAGAGGGAAGCCTCGGTGAAGACTGCGGAGTTACTGCTCGTATTTTTGAGTATCTCTTCTCAAGAATCAAAATGGTAATTACCTAACTTCCTCTGGACGAATCACTGCTAAGTCAATATGTTTTTGTACTGAAAAGGTGTTTTATAAACAGGAAGAAGAGGGAAGGAGAGATGAAAAACTGAAATTCAGTTGCAAATGTTCTTTTCTTGAGATTTATAACGAGCAGATAACCGACCTCTTGGAGCCATCGTCAACCAATTTACAAGTAATTCAATTTTTTTTCTTTTCCTTCCATCACTCGTTTAGTATTTATCCACTCTGTTGCGTTTTGTTTTGAGATAGGCCATAACCTTAAATTTCCATATTTTAGCTCAGAGAGGACTTGGGAAAAGGCGTATATGTCGAAAATCTTGTAGAGCATAATGTGAGAACTGTTGATGACGTTCTAATGCTTCTACTACAGGCAAGGCATTCATACCTAAACATTGTGTTAAGAGTTTAAGTGTTCAAATATATAACTTGAAATGTTTCCTCATGCTCAGGGAACAGCAAACCGGAAGATTGCAGCAACCCGTATGAACAGTGAAAGCAGTAGATCCCATAGCGTTTTCACGTGTACAATCGAGAGCCTCTGGGAGAGAGATTCTCTAACCCATTCAAGATTTGCCAGACTAAATTTGGTCGATTTGGCTGGCTCTGAAAGGTACATTCTTTTTGTGTTTACTTTTGTGTACATTCTTTTTGTGGTTACTTTTGCATCTTTGACTTCTAAAATTATTTTTGTTACGTATACAGGCAGAAAAGTTCAGGTGCAGAAGGAGATCGCCTAAAAGAAGCAGCAAACATTAACAAATCTTTATCCACTCTGGGGTAATCCTATCAAACACCTGTTTACGTGTCAGTTTGTCTGCCCTCTGCATTCTTGTCATGAACTGTTTTCTGTTGTTCATTGCCAAAAGTGTTTTATGCCTCATGTCAAAATAATATACGGTTGATGGAGAAAATTGTGAAGAAACTGAAAATATGCATTGCAAGAAAGGATGGCCCGACTTTAATAGCTTTGAGGTGTTTGACAACTTAAAAGACGATTATTGCCTTAACTTGAAGATAAATAATCTTTGGACAAGATATAAGATGCCTACACTGTCTTACACCTTTTACTTCTTTAATCTTGTAATAAAATCTTGGTAGCTAGCTACTAACACTATCCCATTCATATGTCAATATAGCTTAGTGATAATGTCTCTGGTGGATTTGGCACATGGGAAACATAGACATGTTCCCTATCGAGATTCGCGACTTACCTTTTTACTGCAGGTATGACATATTAAAGCACTTCAACCTTCATAACTTCTTGCAACTGCACTGAGACTAACTTCAGATATGATTACAGGATTCTCTTGGGGGTAATTCTAAAACAATGATAATAGCCAATGTCAGCCCATCTCTTTGGTTTGTACCAATAGCCAGTCTTGTTTAATGTGTTTATCTAATATGTCCTGTCCTGTGTATTTCTGATTATTATTGTCTTATTGCAGCTCTACAAACGAAACTCTCAGCACTCTGAAGTTCGCACAACGGGCCAAATTAATCCAGAATAATGTACTTCGTAGTTCTTCATTTATTACGAGTTTGTCTATGAAGTTTGACCTGATGTTAGGTTGCTTCAATTTCATGAACCAGGCTAAAGTCAACGAAGATGCCTCTGGGGATGTCACAGCACTTCAACAGGAAATAAGAAAGTTAAAGGTATTGACAAACTGTACCAAACAGCAAACTTTCCTCGTTTCCTGCATATGCTTGTGACAGTGATATCATAACATTTTCATATGTTCAAACAGGCCCAACTGTCCTCCCTTATGAAGAACCATAATTCGTGTGGGGTTCTTTCAGACTGCACAACTTCTCTTGAAGAATCAAGATACTCTGGTACATGTGAAGTAGCAGGAGAAACAAAACAAGACAAGTGTCACTGTCAGGAGCACAACTCACTGAGAAAGAAGGTATTTTGAAACCAATTCGTGAATATCTTGCGACTATATTATTTATAAAATGAAACTGACTTCATAATTGTATAACAGGTGAAAACTATGAAAGATCTTTTGAATAGTGCTCTGAGAAGAGAAAAGATAGCTGAAATTGCCCTTCAGAAATCCCAGGCTGAGATTGAGCGTGTAGACAGCTTGGTTAGTCTTGCTACAAGGACAGTTCGATTTCATATTTTAATATGGTCTTGACAGATTCATCTCATGATGCAAACAAAATAGATTTCATTTCGACTCATCTTATATTTTGATCATTTACTACAGGTTAGAGACATGGAAGAAGATGCTAAGTGCATTAAAACAATGCTTAATCTTCGGGAAGAGAAAGTTGGAGAGATGGAATTCTCTACGACTGGTTCATTTATGACAAAAGAGTGTCTTATTGAAGAAAATAAATCTCTGAAAGGAAAGATGAAGCTTCTTCGGGAAAGCATTGACAAGAATCCAGAGTTGACACGTTCGGCCTTGGAGAACACCAAGCTCCGGGAGCAGCTACAACGGTAAATCACTTATTAAATGCTTTGGAAGAGTCTTTTTTTTGTTGTTAACATCTTATGCTTTGATCTTGACTTCCATTTCAGATATCAGAAGTTTTATGAGCGTGGGGAACGAGAGGCATTGCTTGCTGAGGTGACAGAACTACGCGACCAGGTTCGAGAATGCCTTCACTAAATGGACTTTCAGACTGTAGTTTTAGTCTAATTTTTGGTCACATATCATGCAGCTGCTGGATGTTCTGGAAGAAAAAGATGAGTCCTTTCCTAAACATGCAATGAAGGTTCGGAAAAAATATGCTATTTGCTGCTCTTAATTTCTTAGATAATGTTGTTGCCGGTTTCTTACTCTTGAACCTTGATAACACTATAGGATAGCGAAGTGGAAAAGGAGTTCGAAGACTGTAGAAGCATGAACTCTAGTTTGATCAGGTACTATATGAAATCCAATTATCTTTTGTGAAGGTTTGGTATTGTATGAAAATCATTTACACTGTTGCATTTTTTTTGTAGTGGATGTGCAATGGAAATTTTTTTCTGAGTTCTCTGTTGCATTTTTATCTAGAAACTGCCATCCTGTACTTGGAGTTTTTCATCCTATATCTATAACTCTGTTCTACTAAAATTCTGATTTGCCTTGTGTTTGTGATAATATAATTTTGAACCTGAACCGTTTTCATTTTCCTCATTGAACACAAGATGATCAATTTGACCTAATCGGAAAAGCCTGCTTTGGTATTGTCTTTTATGTTTTGGTGTTGCTTTTCGATGCAGGGAACTAGATGAAATACAGGCAGGACTTGGAAGATACTTGAAATTCGACCAAACACATTCCGACTTTGTAAGAATTCAGACTGACACAGGAGTGATTGTTACAAAAAATTATTTGCTGGTGGTTTATCTTTGTTGTACCTTTTGCAGGATGCATCTTCCTCCAGTGGAGCTGAAACCAATCAAGCACATAAACATTCAATGGTTCGTTGAGTTATTATTGATATACGAATCAGTCTGAAACAGATATGTATATTGTTTTACATAGTTAATATTGCTTAAAAGGGCTGTATATAAATGAGCAGCTGCATTTTTTTTTGTTGAAACAGGCAAAAACAATGTCAACTATTAGTGAAACCAAAGAGAAGGCGGCTTTTTCAGAGAGTAAAAACCGCAGTAATATCAATGGTGAATCAGGCAATCCTGAAGGGAATAAGGTTTGGCTACAGGATGTTCTAGAGGAGAACGATAACACATATGCTGTTCCTAGGATAAAAGGTCATGACATGGAGTTAAGTGGCATGGTCAATAACACAAATGCTGTAATGAAGACTGATGAGGGGATAGACCAGTCAATCCTGCAGTTCAAGTTGGGGAAAGTACTTAAGGACCTCGAGGAGGCGAGGACACTCAATTATCAATATGAAAAAGAGCATGAGTCACAGTTATCTGAGCAACAAGATATTGAAGTAGTCCGCGAGCAGGTCGAGACAGAAACTGCCAGAACAATTCTTGAGCTGCAGGAAGAGGTGATTGCTCTCCAGTCTGATTTTCAAAGAAGAATCTGTAACTTGACTGAAGAAAATCAATCGATGAAAGATACTATAACTGCTAGAGAGGCAGAAATAAGAGCGCTGAACCAAGACTGGGAAAAGGCCACCTTAGAACTTACAAATTTCATTGTGGATGGATCTAAATCCATTAAAGATGCATCTACGCAGATTGAAAGTATAATATGTTCGTTCCCACACGTGAATGCGTGGATAGGTGATTATGTCGAGAAGGCTGCAAAAGATTGTATAAGAAAGGAAGAAACAATATTACTTCTACAGAAAAGCTTGGAGGATGCACGGATATTGTTAGCAGAGATGGATTTGAAGCTGAATTCTTTAAAGGGCGCAACAATTGCCCTCAACGAATTTCGACTGGACGACAATGCTGCAACCAGTGAAGAAACTTTCCACGTGAACACTGAATTAGACAGGAGGAGCAACGAGATAGACAAGCGTGAGAATGACTTAAAAGCAAAGCAGTATTCTGTTCTGGAAGCAGAACGACGTGACGAGGCTGCCTTTGCTGTTACAAAATGGCTTTCTGATTCTAGAAATCAACAGCGAATGCTGGAGAAAACAGAAGATCAACCGGTTAAAGAAAGCGGTACATCAAGTTCAATCTTTGCTTCTCCTAGTGCGGAAGGGAATGCTGCTATTAATTTGTCAAAGGATGGAATTTTGAGTGAAGCAACATATCCGAAGGGTGGTGAGCTTTCAACATCAAGCTCTGATTTTTCAAACTGCAGATGGCAACATGATGGTGAATCGACCGAAAAGGGTCTAGGAGTTTCAGGTTCTTTATCTGACGCCCAGGAAATTCACAACAAGACTACATCAGCTTCGATTGCTAAGAATGGTTCTATACATTGTCTTTACTGTGGAGGTATCTATTTGCTTGTTTTCTATTATTCACCACCCTAAATTTGTAAAATGAGTAATCTTGAATGACTAAACCACCACTTTTGTCTTTTATGTATAGAAATAAACTTAATTTTTTTTTTTGTTTTATGCAGAGAGGAGACAGTCAGGAGAGGGGCCATTGACGATAACAATGAGCAGAGCAGAAACGGATTGCAAATGCAGTAACCCGGTAAGCTTTTGTTGGCATCCGTTTCTTTTGTCAAGAGATAATAGAAAATAGTCATATGTTAGTGACAAAGTAAGCCACTAAATTTGTATATATGCAGCTTTCTTCTGATATATATATATATGGGTCTTATGCAGAGAATGGATCCTGTGAGAAGTTTCTTCGATCGATTTGAGGCAGTTAATGCTACCATGAAAGAAGCTGATCTCACGTTATCCGAATTAGTAAAGGCCAACGAAAAATCAAAATATGTAACTGGAATGTGGCGTCAAACGCATGAAGAGCTAACGGTTAAGGAGAAAAATCTGACGGATGATCTTGAACAGGTCAAGTCTACACTGTCTGCAACTGAGAAAGAAAATCAAATCTTGCTAAAGCAAACACAATCAACTTTGGTTGACATGGGAGATACAGTGTCGTTGCTTGAAGAATGTCTTGTGGAAATGAAAAGAGGAGTAGGAGAAACATTGGAGGCTTTTTTTTCAGATCTCCTTTTAGCTCGGAAAGAGCTACTCGATTTGATTTCCAACTCAAGATTGTCAGTTGAACAGATTGCATCTGAAAATATGGAGAGAGAGTTTACCATGTATGCAACATACCAGTGCCACATTGGGAAACTGATAGATCAAATTTTGGACCAGAGAAAACAGGTTGTCACTCCCCACTTTGCCGGGAAAGAAAACCAACAGTCAATGGAAATCAACGCCATTGGGTACAGTGCTGAAGATCAAGTCACTAGAAAGCTAAATAGAGTTAAAAGAGCAGACGTGGTCACAGGTTTAGAAAAGGAAGACGTTGTTCAGTCACATGAAAGCCTATTATATGAGAACATTTATCTGAAAAAGGAGCTGGAGAGGAAAGAAGCTTCGTTTGAAGGTCTGCTTTTTGATTTTAGGCTACTCCAGGAATCAGCATCAAATAAAAGAGATATCAAAGATGAAATGGACGAGCTGTTTGAGGCGTTATGCAAAGTTCAGCAAGAGCTGGAGCTGAAAGCGAGTCAAGTTCAAGATCTTTTTGTACATAACGAGAATCTTGAAAATTGCTCCATTGACTTGAAAACGGCTTTGTTTACGTCAAAGGCAGATCTCGAGCAGGCCAAAGAGAGGATACAAATTCTTGCGGAGCAGAACGATGAGTTAAGTGTCCTCGTCAGAGACCTCTGTATGGAAAAAGTTACAGCTGAAGAGGGACTTGAAGAACAAAAAGACCTTGTCAAACGGTTGGAAAATGAAATCCTTCACTTGACTACTACAGGAGAGAAGCAGTTTCTTTCCGCTGTCAAATCCACCGAAGAAAACTTGAAAAAGACCAGCGAGGAGAAAGATCAACTTGTTGAGGAAATATGTTCGTTGAATGATAAGCTTGAGTTGGCGTATGCTCTAGCTGATGAAAAAGAAGCAATTGCCGCAGAGGCTCGTCAGGTATGTAACTTGGAGCCTTTTGTTTCTAGATGAATCATTTGAGTCTTAGCAATACTGAGATTTGACAGGAATTTAATTTTTTTTCTTATGTAGGAATCGGAAGCAAGTAAAATATATGCTGAACAAAAGGAGGAGGAGGTCAAGATTCTAGAAATTTCTGTGGAGGAACTTGAGAGTACTGTAAATATATTAGAAAGACGGGTTTGTTTGCATTTCATTCTCCACATACTTACTGCCAGTCCGTTGCATTAACTCTTATACTTATTTGTGAGGTATTTTGGCTTCCAGGTGTATGATATGGATGAGGAAGTTAAAAGGCATCGCACCACTCAAGATTCATTAGAGACAGAGCTCCAAGCTCTCAGGCAGAGACTGTTTAGATTTGAAAACTTCACTGGCACTGTGGTTACAGCCAACGAAGGCACAGAGGAATATGAGAGCCAAATATTCAGGTCAGCCATCCTAATCCTACTCAAGATATTAATTTTTCTTGTGCATCTGTCTCGATGAATACTGAGTTTGGTAAAATATATGTACTATAGGTCAACAGAGCTGCAAGATGCGCATCGTCAGATACAAGTCCTCCAGAAGGAAGTAGCAGAACAAACCAAAGAGGTGTGCTATATTATTGGATTGCTCGGCTCAATTTTCCATAATATTTGTGCATGTGATTTCCATAATATTGGATTGCTCGGCTCATGTGATTTTCTTATTTTTGTCCTTACTTCTATCTTCCTCATTCTCCACTTACAGATTAAGCAGCTAAAAGAGTACATTTCCGAAATTTTACTGCATTCTGAGGCCCAATCATCTGCCTACCAGGAGAAGGTATTAGATTTGTAGACTTCAGCAGTTCTTAGCACTTAGTTGAATTGTTGAATGATTTAGCTCCATATTTGTGTCTTTGTTAACGTTCTTGCTAAAACACCTCATGATTCAGAAAAGAAAAAAATCAAGTCCAAATTGTAAATGTTTCTGATTTCTATTATGCTGTATCTGAAGTAGGAAAAATATGATAACAATGGTGTGGAAGTATTATTTTCCTTAATTCGTAGCTCATATAAGTTCATCGGTTCCAATCTTAACAGTATAAGACTCTGGAGGTCATGATTCGAGACTTCAAATTAGAGGACTCAAGTTCATCGGCAGTAGAGACCATATCACATAAAACTGAGAAAAGCTCAATAAGGAGCAGAGGTTCAAGTTCACCCTTTAGATGTATAGTTGGGTTGGTACAACAGATGAAGTTGGAGAAGGATCAGGAATTGACCACGGAAAGGGTTCGTGTTGAAGAATTGGAGTCATTGCTAGCCGCTAAACAGAAAGAGGTCCAGCCTACCTGCACTTGATTGTTCTTTTCCTCTGGAGTGACTCAGTGAATCCATCTTACATATTTTTCATGCTGAAACAGGTTTGCACATTGAACACGAGGATAGCTGCAGCTGATAGCATGACTCATGATGTTATTCGAGATTTACTTGGTGTAAAAATGGATATAACTAGCTACGCTGTAAGTATATCAGATTATGTGTCATCTTAAAGAGAGTTAGAGAGGCATTTTTCCAAAATACATATCGGTTTGCTCGTTGGGATATTTCAGGAGTTGATTGACCAGCACCAGGTCCAAAGAGTGGTTGAAGAGGCTAAGCAACATGCTGAAGAGATCATGTCCAAGGTGATGATGCTATCTCCTTAATGGCATCCACTTTCTTTAGTTAATCATCAGTTTTGTTATTGACACCCTTTTTCCTTTATCGATTTTAGGACCAAGAAATCATTAACCTGAAGAGACACATTGATGCTCTTGTTAAGGAAAGAGAGAGGTTAGCCCTGTTCTACTTCTACCATAACTGTTCTATGACGAGCCAAGATGCTTAATTTTCTCTTGTGATGTTCTTGCAATTTTGTGGACAGTTGCATGTCAGAGTTGAACAAGAAAGATACAGATGTTCTTGCGACACAGATATCTTTGGACCAACTACAAGAGCGAATTCAATTGCTTTCTATGCAAAACGAAATGTTGAAGGTGATTAGGAGTTTCTTCCACACTTAATCTCATCACCATTGTTTGTGTTTCTCTTAACTCACTGATTCGATCTTCCATTTTCAGAATGACAAGAGCAATTTGTTGAGGAGGTTAGCTGAGCTTGAACGAACAGTCCGCGATGCACGAGCCAGTAACCAACATGTTCCACAGACAAAAAAGGTATGCATAATGCTTCAAACGCGCTGCTGTGTTTTACTGCATGTGGAATATGGAGAAGAACTCAACTATTGATTCTAAGATTTTGAATTTTCTTTCCATCGAACAGGATACAGTGTCATTTAAACTTGCTGATACTGATTATACCAAGAGACTGGAAAACGCTCAGAAGCTTCTTTCTCATGCTAATAATGAATTGGCAAAGTATCGCAAAACCAGCAATAATATTCCATCCACAAGAACTCAGGGACAGAGCTCTGGTACAAGATATCGGTAAGAAATTTTCTTACCAAGCTTCTTATCTCCTTGGCTTGTTCTTGAGTATAAGTTCCACACGAGAGTCAACCCTAAGAAGCTAGCCCACCAATCTTAACAAGGCGTACGTTTAGCCAACTGGTTTTTTTTTTGGCTTAATTCGTTCACAGATAAGTCCCACGTCCAATTCCGATTGCTTAATGGAATTTACATACTTCAGATGCTTTTTTAATAATCTTTTGGAAATGTTGTGTATAAGAATGCATATAACATGTTGCTGAAGTTGGCCTGTTGTTTGTAATTGTATGTTTATATTTATATATAAAGAAAGAGTTTGCATTTTGCAATCATTCGGTGTGAAGGCCGTATTAGGCACTTAACCACCATTTCTCATTTGCTAAAACAACAAAGACAACAACAAAAACAAGACCTTGTAGGACATACATGTTCGAACCAAAGTGAAGAATTATTTTCCAATTACTTCAGACTGCATCTGCCTTCACCTTCAACGACTCATCCTGAGAAAGATTTCATTTAAACAAAGACACAGGATTAATCATGAGATAAAGACAGATTCAAATCGTTTGGCTGAAAGGCTATAGAAAGCAATGGAGGAGGATGAAACTACACACACACCTTAGTACAGACATAGATGTAATGGACATCAGGGCTTTTGCCAATTGCCGATTCCACTGAGTTTTCCTCATCATCTAGGGCTATAGGCTTTGTGAGTTCCCACTTTGGCGTTTCTAGTTGTTGTTCGGTCAAACTTTTGTCTGCAGAATAAAAAAAAAACAAATAAAGTCTTAGTTAGCAGAGAACATGAAACTTGTAAACCCCCACAAATATTACAAGAGGCATATTCAACCTATCACATGAAGTTTGGTTGTCCAGGAGCATGAATCTTTAAACAGACGAAGACGGTAATTCGGAGCTCCATATGTAATCTGGAGACAACTTTACTAAAATCAGTGTGCATGAAACAAACAGAACACACATAATCAAAACACAGATAGAAGATTTTACCAGGATGTAGACTCCTTTATCCTTGAGGACCCTATAGTTTTCATCAACTGCTTCATTATACGTGAAAGGATCAAGAAAGAAATATAGAAGGAGAGGCCGATTCCAGAATGAAGAAAAGGAGCAGAAACCATTTAACATTCATGCCATAGATCGTGGATATAGTAGTACCTCCAAACCTCCTCAAGCATTTGCGTTGAGTATTGCCTCGAATTGCTCCCACACTAAACATGAAAAAAGGATAAGACTTTCAGTGAGAAAATCAGAATCTGGAGATAACAAAAGTAAAGAGAAAGTAGACCTCCTCACTCACCAAAATGGAGTCTAAGGTTCCTGAAAACACAAACACACACAAAAAGTCCAAAATGTCATTGCATGAAACACAATGCACTGGGATAATAATGGAATCAAACATGTACTAGTAAAATACCTTTATCAATTACAGCATCAAAAGAAGCAGCTTCAAATGCCTTCATATCACGCACATCCATCTTCAAATCTGTTTCACGTGATATCAAAAATACAACATTTCAAGCTAAATATAGTAATTAAGGCAGACGAAGATACATCGAAATTAATGAGTAGGGAATCGGAACAGTTCTTCTGTCAATATCTCGTACCCCAAATCGCAACATTAAGCAAGCAGCAGAAGAAATCAACAAATGTGGAAGAAAACAAAAACAAAAGAGACGTACATTTGAGCTGAGGACGATTGGAGTACTTGTTATTCATGGCATCGATCACCACAGAGGAAATGTCGATATTGACTACATCCTCGTACCCATCATCCACCATATCCTCGCTGAACACTGCAGCGGAAATTCGAAACGACAAAATCAGACGGATCCATTTAAAAAAAAAAAAAAAATTACTGTGAAATGAAATCTAGAGAATTTCGTTTTTGGAGTACCTGAGTTTCCGCAGCCAATGACGAGGACTGGGTGATTACGGCGAGGGACGTAGAGATTGATGAGAGGAGCCAATGAAGAATACTTCTGGTACCAATCAAACGGCTCAGATTCGTTCGTGTAGCGATCGTCCCAGTACCATTGCTCACTATAAGATTGCGTCGACGTCTCTGCCGCCATCGTCTTCGCCTTCTTCTCCGTCGTAACTAACCGATTTCGTTTTTGTTTTCCCCTCTGATCAAACGAAGGGGAAAGAGGCAGGAGGCAATAATCGGATACACGAGAGACCACTGTAGTGGTCAAGATCTTCCTAATAAAGTCACGTGTGGTGAGTCTCGCGCACCATCCGATTTTCCCGGTTTGCTTTATAAACCGTCAATTTTAAGATTAAACGGAAATGAAACCGGTTATTTTTTTTTCCATGGTTTTCAAGTGATGCTTTTTGTCTCCCTCCTTTTGGAATGCCTTTGTTTGTGGGATTCAGTATCTGCTTGCTAAGTTAATGCATATTCTTGCTTTTTGGTTCTGCAACCTCACTAGGAACAAGTCTTCATCCATGGGAAAGGTTAAATCCTTTCAAGCAAAGTATAAATGTTTGATCCTAAACAAAGTTTTTTGGTTCTTCAGATGCAATCTATTTCTTTCACGTATAAATAGAAAGTTAATAGAGTGATGCTTGTCTGCATATTCACTAGTTTCCTTTCTGGTTTCTGCATATCACCTCATGGCCAGTTTGGGTGATCATGATGGTATTGGTACTATCATCTCTCTTTCTCTCTCTATTTTTTTTCACTTATCTTTCTGATTAAATACACAGACTTGCCTTGTTTACTTCCTCCAAACTCTGATATTTCAACCTTTGCATATAATATGTTCCATCACATTTTGTTAACTTTTCTCAAAGGTAGCTTTTTTTTTGTGAGAAATCACTGCAGAGATTATAAAGTCTATTTCTGATGCCCCACCAACGCATTACATGGTCAAGATAGAGTCTTTCTCACTCCTTACAAAACATGCTATAGAGAGATATGAAACTGAGAGCTTTGAAGCGGGAGGCTACAAATGGTATGGCATCATCTTTATGATGATATAAATCTAATAGCATCATAACATAACTAAGTAATCATGCTTAACAGAAACAAGCGGGTTTGCTTGCAGGAAACTGGTTCTGTATCCAAATGGAAACAAGATCAAGAATATGAAAGATCATGTTTCTGTTTACTTGGCTCTTGCAGACTCGAGTTCATTAGGTCCAGGGTGGGAGGTTTCCGCTGTTTTCCGTCTGTATTTTCTGGATCAAAACAAAGATAATTATCTGATTCTACAAGGTACATTTGTTCACTGCTTTCAATTACTCTGTTTTTTTTCTTCCCACCTTACGATGCATGTCTTGTTGCAGGGAAAGAGAGACGGTTCCATACGGTCAAGCGTGAATGGGGATTCGATAAGTTCATCCCTACCGTTACCTTCTTTGATGCGTCAAGCGGTTACCTAATGGAAGACACATGTATGTTTGGAGCTGATGTATTTGTTTCCAAGGAGAGAAGAAGTGGGAGAGGAGAATGTTTATCGATGATTAAAGATGCCACTAGCTCTAAACACGTCTGGAAAATCGAAAACTTCTCTAAGCTAGACAAAGAAAGCTACGACTCTAACACTTTCTTCGCTGGAGATAGAAAATGGTAACAACAACAATCCCAAAACCCCATAGGTAAATATTGCTGTAAGCTGCTGATGGACAATGGTTTTAAACGCAGGAAGATACGGTTTTATCCATCGGGAACGAAGCAAGGAACAGGAACCCATCTTTCTGTCTATCTGATCCTCGCAGATCCTGATTCCGTTTCAGACGGTACAAAGATATTTACAGAGTTTACGATTCGAATATTTGATCAGCTTCAAGGCAGACACATCGCAGGGAAAGGTAAATCACAATTCTTGAATGCTTGTACGAAATGTGTGTTCGTTCACTTCTTGATCTGTAGTAACTTGTGTCTGGTTTACAGTTACTAAATGGTTCAGTCGATCGAGCTTGGAGAATGGATGGGCGAAGTATGTATCGATGGTTTATTTCACGCAGCCAAACAGTGGCTTGTTGCTCAAAGATGTCTGTCTCGTTGAAGCCGATGTCTGCGTTCATGGAATCACTAGTGCACTCTGATCTCACCTTGTTCTCACTCAAATTGCATTCCGAGTCTTACTCAAAGAATGTTGTCGGATTCTATCAAATCAAAAGCTAAAATCTTTCACATTGATAATACAAACTATGGAATGATAATATGGAATACTTTTTTTATATAATTATCTTCTCAAGAGAAGCAAGAAATACAAAATATGGTTTCAACTTTTCTTACCACAACAATAATAAGTAAAAACTATAATATGACTTTTTTTTTCTTCAAAAGTTCAAAAGACAAAGAATAATAATAATTAACCCATCTCAGAGTTGAAACTAAAAACCCCAGAAAGAGCCTAAAATACAGAGAGCAAGACTGAGTCTGGACATGAGTGAAACAGAGGGTGAACCTGAGATTGGTTCAGGTTTCAAGCTTGGACCTTGTTAGACTTGAGTGGCTTCACAACCTCCCAGGTGAAATCAGGGTCGTCCCTTCCAAAGTGGCCATAAGCAGCAGTCTTCAAGAACCTGCCGTTACCTCCTCTCTTCAAATCCAAGTTGATCGAAATCATCCCTGGCCTGAAATCAAAACTCTCCTTCACAATCTCAAGAATCTCCTTGTCTGGAATCTTCCCGGTTCCGTAGCTGTCCACGAAGACAGACAATGGCTCAGGGACACCAATGGCGTAAGAGACTTGCACAATGCACCGCCTCGCTAGCCCACTGGCCACAATGCTCTTAGCTGCTTGCCTAACGATGTAAGCACCACTCCTGTCGACCTTGGTCGGGTCCTTCCCGGAGAAAGCACCACCTCCGTGTGCACCCCATCCACCGTAGGTGTCGATGATGATCTTACGCCCGGTAAGTCCGGCGTCACCGTGAGGACCTCCGATCACAAAACGACCAGATGGGTTGAGATGGAAGATGGTCTTCTCGTCAAGGTACTTCTCTGGGATCACCGGCTTGATCACGTGCTCCTTGAGATCAGCTGCGATCTCATCGTTGGTCACGGTCTCGTCGTGCTGCGTTGAGATCAAAACAGTGTGGACGCGCACAGGGACCATAGCTCCGTTCTCGTTGAAGTACTCAACGGTGACTTGCGTCTTACCGTCCGGTCTCAGCCAGGGGCAAGTTCCGTTCTTGCGAACCTCAGTGAGCTTGGCTCCGAGCTTGGTGGCGAGGACGTGGCTAAGAGGCATGAGCTCGGGGGTCTCGTCGGTGGCGTAGCCGAACATGTGACCTTGGTCACCAGCTCCGATCTCCTCTGGTTTCTTGGTGAGGTGGCCGTGGACACCTTGCGCGATGTCGGGGCTCTGCTGCTCAATGTTGACGAGGACCTTGCAGTTGTCGGCGTCTAGGCCAACGTCGGCGGAGACGAAGCCGATATCACGGCAAGTTTTACGGACGATCTTCTCGTAATCGACGTCAGCCTTGGTGGTGATCTCGCCGAAGACCATGACCATGTTGGTCTTGGTACAGGTCTCGCAAGCGACTTTGCTCTCGGGGTCTTGCTCAAGGCAAGCGTCGAGGATTGCGTCGGAGATCTGATCGCAGAGCTTGTCGGGATGTCCTTCGTTGACGGACTCGGAGGTAAACAAAAAGGATTCCATTTTCCGTAACCTAGCAAGAGAATTTCCAAAAATTTATCAATGAGAATAAAGTAGAAACATTGGAATTGAAAATCGATAACCAGATCTATAGAAAAAAACTTAGAAATCAACTTCGTCGAACTAAACAGCAATTAAAACATAATTGAATTGCTCAAATGCGATCACAAACACAGAAATGCAGAAAGTATGAATCGAAGATAGAGGTTACATACCTAAAGGGACAAGGAGTTAGAGAGAGAGAGAGGTGGTAATGGAGGAAGCAGCTAAAGAAATGTATGTGGTGGTGGTAGTACGAAGGTGAAGTAAGAGCATAGAAGCTTTATATATACGAGGCGATGAAGAGGTGTAGGATCGTAATTTCGTCTAGATTCATTCCCAGTTTCATTTTCACTCTGTTCATAGAAAATGAGATTTATATAATCTGACGGTTCAAATTAGATCCATAAAAGAAAGCTAATCTCAACCCTTGGATTTGCTTAACTGGACTACCGCGTGCAAGTACACAACTTGACAGCATCTAAAAATGAAGATCACGAATCATGATTACAGTAATATAGTTATGAAAAATCAATTTCGATTTAATACTACTACAAAAACGTAAAAAATAAGAGATTTAAAAATTAAATCGTGTAGAATCATCTTTCAATAGCTATAGATATTTTGAAGCATGTAAATCTAGTATATACTTCATTTAATGATCTATTAAAAGTAGTTAATGTCGTATAGAGATGATGAAGAAGTTAGTGTCGGTGAGTGGGAACGGGAACGTAAGTACCGGGAAACCGGAAGGGGCAGTTGGGAGTGAAATAGAGATACACAAGAGTCACAGGCTGTCTCTTTACTCTTTCAGTGATGGATGGGTCCACCGGCAAAAAGACAACATAGAATTCTTCTTTTTCTCTCTCTCTCTCTCTTTTGGTTAGAACATCTCCATCGGTTGAAGACTAAAACTGAATATTTAAATATTATAAAATTAATATTTTTTATTTTATTTATTTTTAAATTTAAATTATATCCTAAAAAAAAAAACAAATAACTAGTTTACAAAGTTAACAAACGTATCTGAAAACTTTCATATAACATACGTTGCTTCTTTCTTTTTCCTATTAATCAATTTTTTAAAATATTTTAATATTTAAAAACCCATGTAAAAACTATCAATGGACATGGTCTTAGTGTCGGCTAGATTGTCAAATTTAGACCACCACTGCTGCTTGGTCGATTGTCTAAATTTCTAAATCTGATCTTCTGAAAAGTAAATTTATTAAACAGTTACAGCGTATTTTCTTTTGTGAATTGAGCCTGGAAAGTGGAAAATAGATACTAAACACAAACAAATTAGTGTGTAACCGACGGCGATCCAATGGCTAACGTCTAACCAAAAGTTAGGCGATTTAGATAAACTAATCATTAATATCTAATGATGAAATAACATGATCTCTATTCCATAATAATAAAATCATTTATTTATGGAGCTTGCAAAAAAAATATATACATCGAGGGTTATTAGGCCTCCAAATATCGATGTAATGGGCCAACAATTTGGGTCCAATATCAATGAAATATTGCCTTATTTAGCTGCAGTTGCTAGCTTCTGGGCTTATTTATGGAAAAATCTGAAATAAAGTGATGAATGGACCCATCTTTTAAACATTTTAATGCTTAATGGCCGAATGGGTAAACAAGCACAGCTCAAGTAAGCCGGATTATCGTCAGTTATTATTGGGTTTGGTTTTATGTTGTTACAACTTACACAATACTGATTTATTTATTTTTAATTTTGTTTAATGACAAAGGTAAAGAATTCCAAATTCTATTTCTACCACAAAGATTTTTATTTGAATTTTTCGACCGTATATACGAGAAGACCAAATGTTGTTTGTAAATCGTAAACACAAATGCAAAATGCAAATGAAAAGAAAGATAGCATTCTGAAAAATATTTGATCTTTTAAATATTGCTGAAAGATCACATAATTGTTATATACAAGCCGCGTGCATAAAGATTTTTTTTTTTTTCCATGAAGAAAGTATATATAGATATACCAAAAAGAAAAGGAAAAGATGGTGGAAATTGAGGTGAGACAGACGCGAAAGCTTCAAGGTGGTTGTTGACTTGTAGACCGACGACCAAATATCATAAAGATTAAAGAACACCATATCACCTTTGATGGTCAAAAGAGAGACGCTTTACATCTTGACCTACACAACTTACAACTTTATTATATTCCTTCAGAATCATATAAGTATAATCTTCATATTAATTATACAAGCCGTGTATTTTGTCTTTTTCTCACCTCATTTCACCGCGCAGGTAAAAATACTTGAGCTGTCTCATGAGCACTTCTATGCGAAACTTACCAATTGTACCCAAGAAAGACATACATTTAATGACTAGTTAACTCCATGTATTTTCGCCCGATACATTTGTTCTTTGTTAAATTGAAATAATCGACCAATTAAAGTTAACCAAATGGCTATTTAGTTTATTGGATTAAGACTTTTTGACCTCTAAACACGAAAAAGTAAAATAATCCAAGTTGCAGGCAAGGGGAGAAGACTACTACAAGTAGCTATCGTACGCCTCTGCTTCACCCTATATATCATTTACTCTAAATTTCCGCCGGGAAGAAAAGTCTACCTTCTTATACGTAAGCTTCACCAACCCTACGAACAAGATAGAGAAAACTCTCCTTGCTTCGGAGATTCGACTCATCTGTTCCTCTCTTTTTGGGATTTTCGGAATAGGTAAATGCTTTCTTATCATTCTTCTTCTTCTGAGCCAACTCGTGTGAATTTTCCTTTTCGGGTCTTTCCCATTTATGTTCGTACATCGATTTTTGATCGGATTTTTTCATTTCCCATCTAGAGGGTTCGATTTCATGCCGGTTTTGATAATATGAAGTGATTTCTCGGAGTTTATTTATAGTTACTTTGGTCTAAAATCCATTTTGCGGGTTACAATCGTTGACCTGTGATATTCTAGGTCACCAAATGTTTCGGTTTCTGGTGTATGGATTTCGATCGAGTTATGCGGTTATGATGATGGAGAAGAACAATTTTAACTCTTATGATGCGAAAGTTGTTTCCTTTTATTCTTTTGTGAAAAAATCGGTTTCCATTTCAGATGATAATACTCTCTCTGTTTTTGCTTAAACCCTATAACTGGAAACTTTTCATTGAGGCCTTGTCTGAACATTTCTGTGTCCTGTTCGTGCGGTACAGTTTGGTCTATTTCCTTTTCCAAAAAGTTTTTAACTTTTTTTTTGCTGTTGTTGACATCCTTTATAGAAAAAAGTTAATTAGCTACTTAAATTTTTGAATCTTCGTATGTACAAGTCTAAAACAGAGACTACTTTCATTTCTACACTTTGTTCTACAACACCATTACTGACGTTTGCCAACCTGTTTATTGTCTGCTTCGCGTTATGAATATACTTTGAACAGTTTCGTGAAAGTTAGTGTGAGAGAAGAGCGTGATGAGCTGCTTTGGTTGTTGCGGTGGTGAGGATTTCCGTAGAGTTGCTGAAACCGGACCAAGGCCGGCGCACACAGGTAGCTTAGTTTTCCCCTGTTTTCAAGTATCTCTCTTTAGTGCCCATCCTTTGAAGGCTAAGTCGGTGAACTTTTTTCAACTGTTGTTAAGGTTACAACAATGGAGGTCATCATCAAAGGGCGGATCCACCCAAGAACCCGCCGGTCCTGCAGATGCAGCCTATCGCTGTGCCGGCCGTTCCAGCGGATGAACTGAAGGATATAACCGATAACTATGGCTCAAAGTCTTTGATTGGTGAGGGCTCATACGGAAGAGTTTTTTACGGTGTTCTTAAAACCGGTAAGGCAGCTGCTATTAAGAAACTGGATTCTAGTAAGCAACCGGATCAAGAATTTCTCGCACAGGTAGATGCTTTGCCTTAAAGAATTGACCACTAACTTTTTTGAAGTCACACTGTTGAGGTTGTCTTGTTGAGTTGTTGCTTTGTTACTGACATAAAGAACTTTTGCAGGTGTCAATGGTTTCGAGATTGCGACAAGACAATGTTGTTGCGCTTTTGGGGTATTGCGTTGACGGTCCACTCCGTGTTCTTGCTTATGAATATGCTCCTAATGGATCTCTTCATGATATTCTTCATGGTAAGTTTACTAATGTAAAACATTGGACATGTGAAGCTATAATTGAAAGTAAGATGTGACACCACTTGGAGGAAAAGCTGATGAAACGTGGTGACTATGTTTGGTGCAGGACGAAAAGGTGTGAAAGGAGCAGAGCCAGGTCCTGTTCTGTCGTGGCACCAGAGAGTCAAAATCGCTGTTGGTGCGGCTAGAGGGCTCGAGTACTTGCATGAGAAGGCAAACCCTCATGTTATCCACAGAGACATCAAATCCAGCAATGTACTTTTGTTTGACGATGATGTTGCCAAGATTGCTGATTTCGATCTGTCCAATCAAGCCCCTGACATGGCTGCTCGTCTTCACTCAACTCGTGTCCTGGGAACCTTTGGCTATCACGCTCCAGAGTAAGCCCTTTACTTGCTTCCTATATCTTGAACAGTGATATTTGATTTGTTTTGTTCAAGACTACTCCATGTGGTTAGTACTTACATTCATCAACTCATGCTCATAGACTTTTGTTATCATTGTCTAATGTTTTGAAAGCACTAGGTCTTTTCTTGGATTAAAGCTTTGTTGTTCACTTTGTTATACCTTAACGCTGTTTATGTGTTGCATCTCTTCTAATTGACCAAACTAGAGTCTTAAAACATCTTTTGTTGGTTCTGCGTTTCAGGTATGCAATGACAGGAACATTGAGCACAAAGAGTGATGTCTATAGTTTTGGAGTTGTTCTGTTAGAGCTCCTCACTGGTCGTAAACCAGTTGATCATACCTTACCACGAGGACAGCAGAGTCTCGTGACATGGGTAATGCTTAGTGCAGTCTTCTCTACTTGTTTTTCTGGTTTAATCATATTGATAAGAAAGAAAAATGACATTTATTTAGTCTATCAGGAATGACAAACAAAGCTTATACTAGAAATTATCTGCTTAATTCTGAGATATTAGATACTCTAAACTTTCCCTATAAACAAAAAAAAAACATTTATTGAATGAAAACGCGTTTGTGTGTTCTCAGGCAACCCCTAAACTGAGTGAAGACAAGGTGAAGCAGTGCGTTGATGCAAGACTAAACGGAGAATATCCTCCTAAAGCTGTTGCGAAGGTAATTAATTTCCCCCATAAACTTTTCTCATACTATATCATTGTTTCAGTAGAGAAGGTTTACCTTTAGGACATGGCTTAGAAACTGCTTCTCCATCATCAGTTGCATTGAATTTTTCGAGACTGATTTTGGTTTTGTCTCTTAATATGACTCTCGGTAATGATCAGCTGGCTGCTGTAGCTGCGCTGTGTGTGCAATATGAGGCAGACTTCAGGCCAAACATGAGCATAGTGGTAAAGGCTCTTCAGCCTCTGCTCAACCCTCCTCGCTCTGCTCCTCAAACTCCGCACAGGAACAACCCTTATTGATAGGATCCTCCGGTGTGCTTCCACGCTTCCATCATCACTATTTCATTTGTTTTTGTTTGAATCCGATTTGTGTAAATTCGTGAAGTAGGCTTTTTTTTTTCTTTTGTATTTCTCTCATACAATCAAAAACCCACTTCACTGAAAATCTCACTTGGGAGACCTGAATGTTGCTCTGCTTTTATGTTATTTCATGCCTGCGATGTAAGTTTCTACTAATTTTACAATAGGCGAGGAAAAGGATAATATATGTATACCCAATACTGTTTTTGTACCATTTTGTTACCATGTGTCACAAAAGATGTTAAGATTTAAAAAGATTCTAAAGACAATTATTGGCCCAGCTTCTAGCTAGGGTTTTTGTGTCTTTCAGATTTGCCGAAGAGAGTTGCTTCTTGTCAAGCTCTAACATCGATCCTTGTTGAAGATGCTGTCGGATCTTCCAAGGGATTTGGCAGAGGAAGTGCTCATCAGGCTTACGGTGACATCCCTCAGAGCAGTGCGATGTGTTTGCAAAAAGTGGAAGGCTTTAGCCAAAGGTCGGAGCTTTAGAAAGAAGCACCTTGCTCAAGCAAAAGCAGCAGCAGCAAGGGAGCCTATGGTGGTCATGTTGATATCTGATCGGGTTTATCTGAGGAGCCTAAACCTCCACAGCGGCGTCGACGAGCCATCTATAACCCCTCGAGGTAAACTTAAAAGCCGACTCGAAATAAGAGAAGTGTGTCACTGCGATGGTCTATTGTTATGCGTCACGGCAGATCAAACTAGGTTCGTTGTATGGAATCCGTATAGTGGCCAAACCCTGTGGTTCAACTTCAGCAGTGAAGTGATGCTCTGGTGGTGGAGGTATGCTATAGGATTCGCGAATAGCAGCAAATCGTGCCGCAGCTACAAAGTCTTGACATTTTCTGAATCTGAGGAAGAAGAATACGTTAGGTGTGAACTCTACTACATCAACTCCAGGGATGATATTACTATAGGTATCCCTATGACCACTATCTTTCCGGACTGGCATGTAGAGTTTGATGCACGTGGCGTGTCTTTGAAAGGAAATACTTATTGGTTTGCTCGGGACAAGTTGCCACCAGTCCCAGAAGAGATAGACACATCAGAGATGACTGGTTTCTTGGTCTGTTTTGATTTTACGACAGAGAGATTTGGACCGCGTCTAACTCTACCGTTTGACCCTCAGTACGACCAAGATACTGTGGCTCTATCTAGCGTCAGAGATGAGCAGCAGCTTGCAGTGTTATTTCAGCGCTGGGATACATTGCGGATGGAGATATGGATTACGACTAAGATTGAGCCTGAAGCTGCGTCGTGGAGCAAGGCAGTCTTTTTAGCGGTGGATGTGGATCGTCAGTTCGCAGTTCCAGGAGCGAGTTTCTTTCTTGACGAGGAGAAGAAAGTGGCGGTGGTTCTTGATATTTTTCATGATGACAGAAACAGAGGAAGGGCTTCAAAGGTAGCTTATACCATTGGAGAGGATGGATACTTCAAAAAAGAGAAACTGGAAGAAGATCCCTCAATCCACTTCCGCTATACTTTCCCACATGTGTTCCCTCTTGTTCCAAGTTTAGTGCATATCAAACGAGGCCGCATATGGAAAAAAAGAAAACAGATGACCTGAATATGTATTACTTTTTCATCTTCATTTGATTTGTTTTGAATAAACAGAATATTTTTTTAAACCAAAAAAGTCTTTTTGCAATCAGAGAACATTCTTCTTCTTACGTTTGTTGTGTTCCTTCATCGCTTCCTTAGCACTCTGCAAAAGTATGAAAAACATCACCAATCCAATAGAGTATGGCACGATCGTGGAGCAACTTCGTCTTAGTAGTGAATTTTGATCTCTTTCGTCTACCAAGTGTGACGCGAGGAGAATACAGTGGCCGTGTGTTGTGATGTAGACTGGGATGATGGTGAATATAAGACCAGAGCCTACATTGTTGGAGAGGATATGTATAAACTAGGTTCGTTGAATAAATTGCTTAATTAGTTTCTTTCTTTCTTCTGGTTTTGGTGAGGGAGATTATAGTCAACTATTACAAACGGGTGGTTTCTATTTACAGTTGATAAACAGATAGAGTAACTGGATTAAGCTTTTGTTTTTCCTCTTCTTTTGCTTTTGGTATTCGATCGCTGATCTAATGATCTTTACTCAAATATATTGTTCTGCTGCTTATGCATTAAAGAAACAAAGCGTTTAGGCGTAGACTCGTAGTTTAGATTGGATGCTTACGGAAATATAACATAGCATTGCCCCATATATTAAAGAAAGCGAAACGTTTATATATATGTGTTTCTTACAGGTAACAGAACAAATGAAATCACTACATAATGAAACTCCTTTTACAAGACAGAAACAGAAACATCATATTCGTATTTGGCAACTTTAAAGTCTATTTCCTGAAGCAGGAACCTCACGTCCTGTGATTCAAACTGATCTTCCTTGACACTGAAGAACCCACAGTGAACTTCCTTGAGTAGTTTCAGAACATTGGCCAATCCACCGTCGTTTTCACTCTCGTCTCTCTTCTCTTCCGAGTAAGAAGTTAACTCTTCCGGTTGGCCATCGACTCTGAAGTAGTTGTACTTGCTAATCTCCACAAGGTTACTCTTGTGATGATGGGCCCAAACGTCACGCGTATCATCCACAATCACCACTCCACGCTCCTCAGCCAAGACCAAATCAAGCGTCTTCATGTAAGGGCTCTCGTCTCTTGTGATCACTCTCTCACCAAAATAGAGTCTCTCGGGATCAACCAGCTCCAAAACGGCTTTAGCGTATTCGCGATTGCCCATTGTGTAAGCATACATTGTGAACATCTCGTTGGCTTCCTCCAAGAAGTTGCGAAGGAAAGGCCGTAGCTTTGTCAAGAATTCGGCATCCAATCTGCATAGATCTTCCCTTGAAGTCGAATCCGCATCTTCGATTAGATACTTCTCTGCTTGGGAGAGACATGAAACCTCAGTGGAGTGGAGAAGCGTGTGGTCCAAGTCGAGGACAAGGTGAAGCTTCTTCTCCTTGAGATAATGGAATCGCGTTGCAGAACGCTTCGTGAACGCCACAGATTCGTCGCTCAGCTGTAAACCCTTGAAAAGATAATCGAATGCCCGGCCTTGGCGTTTGTCCACCGTCGATTCACAGGCGATACAGACTCCGTGACGAACGTACCAGTGACCACAGCTGTTGCGTAACGGCGACGAGGAGGACTCTTTGGTCGCCGGTTCGAGTCCCAGAGAAGGGTTTTGAACCAGAGACATGATTTCTCAGATCGCGCTGTAGACTTCGTTGAGAACCACCCCAAATATCTGATTAGGGATCTCGAGAGAAAATTCGCCGCACAAAAGTCGAGAATCGGAAAGGAAACCTTGGAAATAAATTCGCCGCACCAAGGTCGAGAATCGGAAAACCCTAATTAATGATCGGAGAGAAAATTGAGGATAAGAAAGAGAGCGAGCGAGCGTAATTTCAGACTGGTCTGGTCTCGTATTTATACAGAGGCTGTCACTACTCACTATATGGCCTGGAGAGATTATGGAAATCCTAAATCCGTGTAAATTTTGCGTTTTGTAATAATTGACCATTATACCCTCAAATAGTTTTGATATTGTTTTTCAATGACAAATATAAAAGGAAAATTTGGAAGGCTTCCCACAAAAGGCGTAGCAAGAGAAGGCCCAGCCCATTATATAAGATTGATGAGGAGTCCAAAGACTTGTCTGCAACTTCTAACTGTTTAGTTAGCATTCCCGCCTAAATCATGAATAACAAAAACCCTACAGAGATATTTTAGCATTGAAAATAGGAATTTTCCGTCTTCTATTTACTCAAAAAAAAAAAACCCTAAGCCTCTCTCTCCCTTCGTCTCCCCCGCCCCCCCAAGGCCACAACAGCAACCTCTGCTATGGACAACGGCGATCTCGCTTCCGGTTCAGGATCCGGTCCAGGTTTTCATTTCTTCTCATAATTTTTATGGATGTAATCCCCAATTTCTAGGGTTTATTCTAGATAAAGTTGCTTTTTTTTGTTTGTTTATGTGTTCGTCTAGAGGTATACTGATATTCTTATACTTTGCAATTTAGATATGAGGAAGAAACTAAAGTCGGACGATTCCGTGAACGATTCTGTGAACGATTGTGAGGACGATTCTGTGAGCGATTGTGAGGACGATTGTGAAAACGATTGTGAGGGAGATTTTGAAGACGATTGTGAGGAAGATTTTGAAGACGATTGTGAGGAAGATGAGGAGATGGAGGAAGATAATCTTCCTTCGACTGCGGAGAAGGTGAAAGATAGTCATAACGCTATGGCCAAGTGGTTCATGAGCTCCGGGATCAATCCTAACACCATCAAGACGGCGTCCTTTGCAAAGTTCATGCGGCTTATGAATCCGAATCTGCCTCTCAGTGCGTCTCTAGTGGAGAAGGAAGTTCTTGAGATACACGAAGAGTGTAGAGAGAAGGCCAAGAAGTTTCTCAAGGATTTTCAAGGGAAACTAACCCTCTCTTATGAATGGTTGCTTCTTAGGTCCAGTGAGTTCATCAAAGGCCCTATCTTGCACGAGGATTTCGTCTGCATGACTGCTCATTTCATCGACGATAACTGGAAGGTCAGGAAATGGATCCTCGGGTACACCACTGACCAGTCCATACCTCTTGACGACATCTATGTCCACCATTTCCGAACCGCTGTTCAGGGTTTCGAGATTGAGAGCAAGGTCTCTACTATACTACTGCCTTGTCATGAGGATTTTGATGAGAAAACGGTTGATGCCATCAGGAAGTGTATAGAAGAGAAAGGGAATAGCTCGATCATCCCACCGGTTTTTGTAGTACACTGTTGTGCTGATCTCTTCCGGTTAATGGCCGATGATATGTATAGTGCCTTAAGGTGGGGGATGTATGAGGAGCTTCGTATGTTGGTTGGATGGGGAAGGTGTTTGTCAGAACCCACCTGGAACGTCACGTTGCATCATCTGCAACTTGCTGTGGATATGAAAAACGAGGATGCCTTCTCAAAGGATGAGATTTACGATGATTATGACAAACCGTCCGATGAAGAATGGATACAGATTCAGACTTTCTGCAAACTCGGTGGCTGTATCTATAAAGTGGCGAAGGAGCTTTTTGAAGAAGGGTATACGACATCTAATGTCTACTTCCACCTCCTTGCAGAGCTGAAGGTGATGCTGAACCAAGAGCTCGTTGGTGCTGATAGTGATTACTTCCTCCGGAAAGCTAGGACGATGTTGAAGATGTTTGATAAGTATTGGAATGATATGTTTCTGGTTTTGGCGATTGCTTCTGTGTTGGACCCTCGGTTCAAGATGAAGTACATTGAGTTTTACTGCTCAAAGAAGATTGATAATGACGAAGGAGGTTCGAAAGCTGAAACTGTTTTGGATTATTTACGCAATCTGTATGCTCGCTATGCAGCTAGCGAGATCTGTCAGAAGCCAATATGTCCGGTTGCTACAATTGACTCCGAGGAAGAAGAAGAGGATGACGATGAAGAAGAAGAAGATTATTATGGAGAAGGAGAAGAAGGAGAAAGAGAAGCACAAAAAGCCAAGGAAGAGGAGAAGAAGAAGCCTGATGCATACGAGGGTTTTGTTTTGTTTCAAGAATTTCTCAAGTTTGAAGGATCTGCAAGAGTTCTTGAAGAATCAGAACTTGATTCGTATCTCAAGGAACCAGTTCTGGAGTGGAGCAAAGACTTCATAGCACTGGAATGGTGGAAAGAAGAGAGCCAAAAGTATCCAATCCTCTCCCGAGTAGCCCGTGACATTCTCTCCATACCGATCTCACGTGCCACGTCGTACGAAGCTTATGTCACGGACAAAAGAGAGCCTCCTGAGTTTGTTCTTTCCATGGAACCCAAAGTTGCTAACGCCATGATGTGCGGCAAAAGCTGGTTACGACTTTGATGATAATGGCAAAACTGGTAAGAACTTCCCCTTTTGTTTTCTTTTTTTTTTTTCTCGTAGGGACTTTAAATGCTTTTCTAGCCTTCATGAAACTTAATAACTCTGTTTTAAGCAATGGTACTTCCGTTTTCCTTTTCTAATATCGGTTATGTTGTTTAACTTAAAAGAATTGTTCACTCTCAATCGTATTCTTGTTGAGTCTGAAGGTTGATTTTGATGTTCATTTCCTCGTTTTACTTTCATTTCAGTTTTCTGTTTATTAATTATATGTACATATTGCGATGAGAAATTCAACACGAAAACATAAGAATGAAACGAAAATATACATAACACATGTCTGCTTAATTGACCGGAACGAATAACCAAACAATGTCACCCTCGTTTGTTTGCTTATTAAACTACAATTTCAGAAAGAACAACACATATAAGTAGTAATAAGAATTACAAAATACTTAGATTTTTAGAAGTTATATACTCATTATTGCTAAGAATCTTGAAAAAAAACATGTTAGCAATATGTACATTACGATTTTTTATTTCATCGAAAAATTCGGTGATCAAGTGAGTGAGGTAAAGAACCATACGGTGGCGGTGTATTGGTAAGAGGCCAAGTGGTGGTTTAAAAAGTTGCACTCATGTTTCCCACGTGTAATTCACCTCATTATTGGCCAAGTATTATTAATCTTTGTCTTAATTGGTAATTACATTATTTAACTCACATTTAAAAATTGGTTTGACAGATTTGTGTGGTGGACGACACACCCAAACATAGATATTTACAATGAGTGTTTGTTTTAACCATATCTGTATTGAATTACCTAAATAATTTTTTGTCAATAATATATCTTTTTCTACAATAAAATGTATCGAAATAGAATATATAATATTGAGTTTATATAAATACACATATATTCCCAACATATATATTCAAGTAAACCTAGTTTTGTTTTCTTTAATATTTAGCTAAAATAAAATAAAATGCGTCCAAGCAAAGCTTCAGTGACCCAAACATGGCTGCTTTTCACACAGCTTTGTATTTGGAAAGATCTCGTAATCAGATGTGTGCGTCAGTTTATTAGAAGAGCAAAAGCGATGCTTCTGAGTCAAAACATGGTCGCTGAATCTCCTGAGATCAGTGTTATCGACGTCAGGTCTCATCTCTCCGTCGGGAAAGATCCCAATAACTTTCAGATTGCAGAAATTCGAATTCGTGAATCCGTTTGTGTTGAGATTCCGGCTCCTGAAGAAACGCCTTTGTTAGGATCGGTATGTGTTTGGGTTTCTTCTTGTTTTCTCTTATCGTCTATCTCAGTTCTGCTTCTTTTGATTGTTTTGGATTCTGTATCATTCCAGATTCTCTGATGAATTCGAAGTTAGGATTGGATTGGATCGGAATGAGTCTTTTTTCTTTGTAATTCCGATTTGCTTTGTCTAGTCATGGAATATAATTCGGGTTTTTGATTTGATGTCGTCACCATTGATTCTTAACAAAGTTCAATTCTGCATCAAGACTTGACTTTTAGACTTTCAATGTTCTTTTTTTTTTCTTCATTTGCCTCTCCCTTATTGAGTCCAATTCGAGTTTAGGTGAGAAAGACTGGCTATTTAATATAGACTATAGTGTTAAGAATTTGATGGATTCTCTGTTCTGTCCTGTGAATGTCAAGTCTATGATTCTGTGGAATAGCACTAAACGAGCTCTTGGGTTACCTTTTTCTCCAAAACAGGTCAAGAGTTGTTCTGCAACTGCAACTACCATTGAAGAGCATGATACTGAGTTTGTCCCAATAATAAGTTCTGGGAGTTATGCGGATAAGGGTGACTACAGGGAGTACATGGAAGATGAACACATATGCATAGACGACCTCTCAGCTCATCTTGGGTCTTCCTTCTTCAGATTTCCTGTGCCCATAGCTTTCTACGGTGTGTTTGATGGGCATGGTGGGTCTGAGGCATCACAGTACATAAAGGACAATGCAACAAGTTTGTTCTTTGAAGATGCTGTTTTTCGAGAATCGCCCTCCGTTGTGAACACTTTCTTCTTGAAAGAGCTGGAGAAGTCTCTCAGGGAAGCTTATAGGTTAGCTGATCTCGCCATGGAAGATGAAAGTATCGTCAGCGGTTCGTGCGGAACAACCTCCTTGACCGCTCTTGTAATCGGACGGCACTTAATGGTAGCTAACGCTGGCGATTGTCGTGCGGTGCTCTGCAGGAAAGGAAAAGCCGTTGATATGTCTTGTGATCACAAATCTACGTTTGAGACGGAACGTAGACGGGTAGAGGATTTAGGAGGGTACTTTGAAGGGGAATATCTCTACGGTGACCTCGCCGTTACAAGGGCTCTTGGAGACTGGTCGATAAAGAGGTTTTCACCGCTCGGAGGTTCTTTGTCTCCTCTGATCTCAGACCCGGACATTCAACAGATGGTTCTGACCGAGGAAGACGAGTTCTTGATCATGGGATGTGACGGTGTTTGGGACGTGATGACAAGCCAGTATGCTGTTACGTTGGCAAGGCAAGGGCTAAGGAGACACGGTGACCCGAGAAGATGCGCGATGGAACTTGGAAGGGAAGCGTTAAGGCTTGACTCATCGGATAATGTTACAGTGGTGGTCGTCTGCTTCACACCATCGTCTCCAGCTCCTCAAAGGAGAAGAATACAGTTTTGTGTTTCTGACGAAGCCCGAGCTCGGTTACAGGCGATGCTCGAAGGCTAATCGATGAAGGTTTTTGCTTGGTCTTGAAGGGAGACAAATGTATATAATATTGAAGCAGAGATGGGGTTTTTGAGATAACCCACGTTTAAGGGAAAGATCATTTGATGACCATTTACATCTCTGATATTGGATGGAATAAAGGGAGGCAAAAGGAGAAGATGAAGGGACTTGTTATTGTTGTTAAATGTTCATAAGTGTTGTAGCCATTTTTGATCTTATTGTTTGGCTATTACTCCGGTAGGATTATTGAGCACTTGTGTACAAAAACTGATTTAAGATTAGAGAATTCACTTTTGTATCTTCACTTGGTTCAAACAAATCTCTCATTTCTTTTTATCTTTATGAAGTGGGTGGTCATATACATCATTCCTTTTGAATTAGCATGATTTTTTACATACTTGAATGATTTTGGATTCTCTTCATTATATGATTTACGGGAAAAGAAAAAGAATAATAGTATATGGGAAAAAGGGAAGAGGCCTTTTCTAGTATTTCCGTCTTTATTCGACTCTTCAAAGAGCCAAAGTCTCTCTTTCCCATCTCTCTCTCTATAGGAAAGTTCGACGGAAAGGAGAACAACAACAACGATGGCGATGGCGAGCTTGGCTAGGAGAAAGGCGTACTTTCTCACCAGAAACATCTCTAATTCTTCCACTGACGCTCTCAGATTCTCTTTCTCCCTCACCCGCGGATTCGCTTCGTCGGGATCCGACGAGAACGATGTTGTCATTATCGGCGGCGGTCCTGGAGGTTACGTGGCGGCGATAAAGGCGGCGCAGCTTGGTCTCAAGACTACCTGCATCGAGAAGCGCGGCGCTCTCGGTGGTACTTGTCTTAACGTCGGCTGTATTCCATCTAAGGTGATTTACAAACTCCTTTTTTCCGTCGTGGAATCAACTTTTTTTTCTTTGTCGAGAACCTCGTTTCGCTAGATTTTTCTCCAATTTATATCGTCTCTTGTGGATTTTTTGTCGTTGATCATCATTGCGACTCGATCTATGTCTTTACGAACTAAGAATTAGATTGAGTTTGAAGTTTAAGAACTGCCTGTGTGATGATATTTTATTCAGTACTCAGATCTGTTTGAGCATGTTCCCAGTTTTCCTGAATCCCCGAATCCTGTTTGTGCTTCATTTCGCGGAAATGGAATCATTGGCCTTTGAATTTCTGTATCTCTTATTAATTTTGTTCTCGTTGAATGGTTTGTGAGGTGCAAATGATGGATCATGATACTCTCTTGGTTCGTTGTCCAAGTTTCGTCATTAGAAAAAGTTGTGTGAAACTCGCATCTCCGTAGATCATGAATGTGCAAGATATTAGTAGCACTAGTTTTTAGTATTCCGCTTGACATTGTACTAGTCTCTTACCTTCTCTGCTTAAGCTTGGATAAATCTATATGTTATCTGTTTAAAATTGAAACTGTCTCGATAGTGTGAACATAGCATTCACTGTTTTTTGTTTTCTCTTGTGTATTTAGGCCCTTCTTCACTCCTCTCACATGTACCATGAGGCAAAGCACGTCTTTGCTAACCACGGTGTCAAGGTCTCTTCGGTTGAGGTAGATCTTCCTGCTATGCTGGCCCAGAAAGACACAGCCGTCAAGAATCTCACCCGTGGTATCGAAGGTCTGTTCAAGAAGAACAAGGTGAACTACGTTAAAGGCTACGGCAAGTTTCTGTCCCCGTCCGAAATCTCCGTGGAGACAGTCGATGGAGAGAACACGGTTGTCAAAGGCAAACATATCATAGTTGCAACTGGCTCAGATGTCAAATCTCTGCCTGGCATCACCATCGATGAGAAAAAGATCGTCTCATCAACCGGGGCTCTGTCTCTGTCAGAAATCCCAAAGAAACTCATCGTTATCGGTGCTGGCTATATTGGTCTCGAGATGGGTTCTGTGTGGGGACGGCTCGGATCAGAGGTCACAGTTGTTGAGTTTGCATCAGATATCGTACCTTCGATGGACGGTGAAATCCGCAAGCAGTTTCAACGTTCACTAGAGAAGCAGAAGATGAAATTCATGCTCAAGACTAAAGTTGTTGGCGTGGATTCCTCAGGAGATGGCGTCAAGCTCATCGTGGAGCCTGCAGAAGGTGGAAACCAGACCACTCTAGAAGCTGATGTTGTCCTCGTCTCGGCAGGAAGAAGTCCGTTCACATCTGGACTTGATCTGGAGAAAATTGGAGTTGAAACAGACAAAGTAGGGAGAATTCTTGTGAACGAGAGATTCTCGACAAATGTCTCAGGCGTTTATGCGATTGGAGATGTGATTCCAGGACCAATGCTTGCGCACAAAGCGGAAGAAGACGGTGTGGCTTGTGTTGAGTTTATAGCAGGGAAACACGGCCATGTGGATTACGACAAAGTCCCAGGGGTTGTATACACCTATCCCGAAGTTGCCATGGTGGGTAAAACCGAGGAGCAGCTGAAGCAAGACGGTGTAAGCTACAAGGTTGGAAAATTCCCGTTCATGGCCAATAGCAGAGCCAAGGCCATAGACGCAGCAGAAGGAATGGTCAAGATTCTGGCTGATAAAGAGACAGACAAGATCTTGGGGGTTCACATAATGTCACCGAACGCAGGAGAGTTGATCCACGAGGCGGTTCTGGCGATCAACTATGATGCGTGTAGTGAAGACATTGCTCGAGTCTGTCATGCTCATCCCACCATGAGTGAGGCTATCAAGGAAGCTGCCATGGCTACCTACGACAAGCCCATTCACATGTAGAAGCCCACAGGTATAATAATTAATAACATCACGGTTTAGTTTTGGTTCTGTTTCTTTTCCGGGGTTTTAATTTTTCTTTTCTTGTATTGATGATGCCTCTGTACTTAGGATGGTGGATTCAGAGAAAAAGTGAAGCCGCCCGCCTACGACAAGCCAAATCGGGATCTTAACCGGGATTGGTTTGGTTTTCTGTCTTCGGTTAAAACTTTAAACGTTGGTTTTCAATTTCTGGTGGATATGGGATGAGTTGAAACAATATTTACACTTACCACTTTTTTTTCAACTGTAAACTAGATGATTTACCCTCGTAGATTTTCCCCTTCTTCTAATAGATGTTTTCGGAGTATTTAAAATCATTGGAATTGACATTAACACTTGGATAAAGTCCAAGATATATTGTATGAGCAATATTGATAATATCTCGATTTAGATAATATACCTCTGAATTATCTCATGACAAATCTATCTATTCAAATAAAATTACATTCCTTCTTTAACGCTTTTAAATAATGTCAACAATAAATCTTGGTCAAAATTTCATTAAACCACAACAAGATCCTATACCAAACTTAACATAGTAAGTATACAAAGACAAATCTATCTATTCAAAAAAAATTACGTTCCTTCTTTAACGCTTTTAAATGGTCAAGATTTCATTAACCCACAACCAGATCCTATACACTTTTGCCACACCAAAAACTTGTGTATATACTATATTACAAAGCAATAAGCACTCCCACGTCCAAGTAAGTAAAAAGAAAACGCATAATTCTTCATCGGCATCCAAAGACAATGGGTTTTTCTTGCGTCACAAGAAGCCTGTATTCGATTCTCCCTCTTCTCCTTCTTCTATCAATCACCCCTTTGTCTTCGTCATTTTCTCCGAGTGAATATGTCACGAAGGAATCACTTGATGCACTCTGCTCGCAGCCGTCAATTTACAAGCACTTCTGCGTCGTTTGGCTAGGCTCTGACCCAAAAACGTTCACCCTCGACATTCAAGGACTTATCGGTATGGCCACCCAAAAGACGGAGGGTTTGGGGGACAAGAACCGCGGGATGCTATTTGACTTAGGATTCACGACTCATAGGCCCGACATCCCATATGGGCCTTGCGTGAGAAAGTATGATTCATCCATTCAAGCCATCCGGAAAGCTGAAGGGTTTGCGAGCTCTAAGGACTACGTGTCAGCAATGAAGGCGGCTGCTACGGCCTTGGATAATATAGCTATGTGCAATGCTCTCCTTGAACAAAAGCCGATCCCGGCTTATGCTGCGTCAAGCAATTTGATGTTTGAAAGAATGTGTAACATTCTCAGGGTTTTCACCAACGCTTTGATAGTTTGATTCTTATGTTTCTTTCACCTGCAAGATGGCAAAACTTTAGAATGTCATCGACGCTCTCTGGTGTAGTAACTTACAAACCAAACAAAATGAATAAATTTTATGATGGTGAACCTCTTATTTTTTTCCTGCATAATACTTACTCTATTAGCATCAGCAATCATGAAAGCAAAATATACATAGTTTTGCTAAGAACAGAAGAATAAAATTAGAAGAATACTAATCAGATAAAAACTATCTCGGCACTTTTGCTAAGAATAGCAAAGTTTTTCTCTATCTTACGTTAGGACTTGTGGTCTAACTAAGAATCAGAAACACCAACAATCCTGTCCAAGAACTTCCATTTTTCCTTCTAGTGGCAGCAATCAATCCCAAGCATCTATAAAACTGTAACCTCAGAACTTTACCAAAAGAACCAACGAACATAAAAGATGGCAACATACCTGAGGAAGAAGAATGTGTTTGCGTCTGCTCTGACGTTATTCGTAATGATAAGCTCCTTGAACGCACAAGTTGCAGACATAAAAGCGATCTGCGGGAAAGCGAAAAACCCGTCCTTCTGTACAAACTACATGAAATCAAACCCAAAGACTTCAGGTGCTGACATTAAAACGCTTGCACAGATCACATTCGGTTCTGCGCAAACAAGTGCAACAGGAGCGTTAACGAAAATCCAATCTCTAGCCAAGACAGCGAACAGCCCTGCTTTGAAGCAAGGATACACATCGTGCGTGGAGCAGTACAAGAGTGCAATCAGCATTCTCAATGAAGCTAAGCAGAGCCTAGCGACAGGAGACAAAGGAGGGTTGAACATCAAGGTCTCGGCAGCTATGACAAGTTCTACAACATGTCAAGATGACCTGGCCAATGTCAAAGCTGATCCTTCTGCTGTCAAGAACAGTGATGACTTCCAGAACATTTGTGGCATTGTTCTTGTCATCTCCAACATGATGTGAAGCAAAAGGGCTCCCCTGCATAACTCAAACAGTTGTACTTATTACATATACAATCAAGAACCTGGTTACTATTACATGTCCGATTACAATTATTGATAAATATACACGAGACCAAGAGACCACAGAGTATAAAAGAAAACGAGCGAATATTCGAAAAAACGAACACTTTATTATCAAATTAAAGCTCATGATCGTTTACACATCCAAGTCTAATAATATCAGAACAGAACAACACAAGGAAACCCCACAGGCTAATTATTTGAAGAGTGATGATCACAAGAAGATTGTGAACTTTGATGGTGCAAGATGATTAGAGATGCACAGAGGTAGGCTTGTAGTCTATAATCAACACTTTATCCAAGCTTCCGAGGAACAAGTTGGCGAATTCAACGTGAAGAGGATGAGCAATGTACTCTGCTACAGCTTCTTTGCTCTCGAATGTGGATTCGAAGATGTGTGTGAATCCTTGATGCAGATTCTCTATGCTCACATCTTTTCCCCTTAAAAAAATTTTATACATCAATTTCGAAATTCATCGATTTTGTATCATGAATCGAAAATTCATCGATTCCCCAAAATTCATATATGGTAGATGATAAAATTAAACAAGAAGAGCATATATATATTCCTAAATCCTAAGAAGCAGTTCAGATCTACACTGTGTATCAATCGTTCGGTGATGACGATAATCGGAAAACAAACAGATGAGACTTACCAGTGGAAAGCTTTCATAGGTTCGATGAGATTGACGAGGTTGGCGTAACCATTGATGAGCTCTTCGATTTTCTCTGGGCTTACGTCGTCTTTGAACTTAGCAAGGAGTATGTGCTTCACTGGTCCCTTTGCTTCCTCCATTTTCGCTTTTCTTCTTCTTCTTCCTCTGCGATCTTTCACTGCTCTCTCTTTATCTATACGTCGCAGTTTAGCAAAATGGACGGTCAAGATCTTATTATCTATGAGAAGGAATATCTTCATTGTAAACGTGCAAACACGTGCGTCGCATTATTACGACAATGTACTATTTATTAGCATTATTTTCAATACTTTACAAGTCGAGATCACTTAATATTTTTGATTTTAAAGGAAACTAATAAACCATGCTCATAAGGAGATTAGAGACTGACTAAGCAACTAATTTACAAATATTGACTTTGAATACATGCAATAAGCGAATACAATATACAGCATTTGAATTCCACTAATTAACACCAATATTATTGAACTTTATATTGTTTTTTCTAGTCTGTATCCGAGAGCTGCAAATGAAACCCATTAAGTTAATGCGACCATCAAATTGTGGTTGAGTTTCGATTCTCAACGGGTAAAGAGTAGTGATCGATTTCGTTTCTCATCGAGTAGTCTAAAGAGTAGTATTTAAGTGATCGATGGAGAAACATAAATAAAAATTATACATTCCCTTAAAAACCCTTTAATCATACACTTTACATTTTCGTTGCATTTCAGAATTTCTTGTTTAACTAACGAAATTCCTTTTGTCACGCGCGTAACGTTTTGCCTATTTGACTCGGTTTCTAGTATCGGTTCTACTTCCAGTCTTTGGTATATTTACAAAAACACCAGTCTTTTGATATAATTTGGAGGAAACATTGGTATTATAATAGTTTATGTCATCTTTATTCATTAACCAATAGACTTATTTATACAAAGTCTATAATTTATCTACCAAGTTCTTTACATATTCAATATAGGAAATCTACCTATTTAACAATAGAAAATTTACACATAAATGTTAACTTTTCATTTAGCTACATCCGAACATCTTTCAACTGCTGCTCTAAAATCTATAAATACGTTCCTTCTTTCACATTTATATTGAGTCAACAATTCACTAAAAGAAACAAAATCTGGTCAACATTTCATTACCATAATATTATATATATATATATATATATGTTAGGTTTTCATCTCGGTTTTTAGTGATCGGTTGATTGCAAAGAAAGAGGCACTACCCAAATCTAAGAAACACGTACACATAATGGCTTTCTCTTGCGTCACAAGAAACGTTTGTTCGATCCTTCCTCTTGTCGTTATCCTCTCAATCGCCCCATTGTCAACATCTTTTGCTCCGAGTGACAAAGTCACAAAGGAATTGGTTGACCAACTCTGCTCAAATTCAACAATCCACAAGAATTTCTGCGTCCCTTGGTTAACCTTTGATCCAGCAACCTTCACACTAGACCTGACTGGTCTTGTAGATCTGGTCCTCCTGAAGACGCAACTGTTTGCCTACAAGAACCTAGCCATGATGAAAGGCTTTGGAAGCACCACGACTGATCCGGTGCTCAAGGCCCCGTACGGAACTTGTGTGACGGGTTATGAATTAGCCATTAAGACGATCGAGGAAGCTCAAGCGCTCGCGATCTCTAACTCGTACCAGTCAGCATCTCAGTCAGCTTTTAGATCCCTTATTAGTATTGGTTCGTGCGTAGGTCAGCTTGAAGGACGGAGCAATGTGCCGGCTTATGTTCAGCAACGCAATTTGTTGTATGTAAGAATGTGTACCATTGATAGTGTTTTCTCCAACGTTTTGGCGTCTTGATTCCTTTTTCCTTTTTATCTTTCGTTCCCACAAATAAACAAAAACAAAAAACGTATGGAAAATGTCATTAACTATGTCGTGGTAACTTTAAAAAATCAATAAATTTGTAGTCAAACTACTGTGTCTTCCATCTTACCTAATATGTAGATCATCTTTCTTGAATTGATCTTGGTTATTGTATGATTTGGTGTTTTAGAAGAAATTCTAGGTGAAAATCAACTAGTATATATGTTGGAGGTAAATTTCATTCATCATGTCGTGACCCCCATGATGATGAATATGAGATTAAATTCGATTTAATTGTATGATTCCGTCAGGTTTTCTGATTTTCGTTTGTTTCCAAATCTCTGATGAGTTGGTTCGTTTATCATCCAACTAGAGTAATATAAAGATCTAAACAGTACGTTTCCTTTTAAATATGTACTCATGCACTCAAGATATATACCAATTACCATCATCATAAAACGTTACAAAACAACAAGAACAGAAAAAAAAAGAATCCAAGACAATGGATTATTCCTCCACATCAGCCCTACAGTTATTCAAGAAACGTGTTTTTGATTCTTCCTCTTACCGTCATAAATCACATCCCATCGCCTTCATCGAGTCACAAAAGGTGTTCATCAGCTCAGATCAAAACCCGCTTCTGCGCTTATGGCGTACATCAATTTGGTCTCGAGTTGCTCTTTGCTGCAACATTGACAGAGATGTTTCATTTGCGTTTCTCCAATTATTATAGCATCAAAGTGCAAGATTATTTTATTTGAGACAAATGATGAACAACACGTTTCTTGAAATGAGCAAAACCAAAGAGTGGAGCAAGTGTAAAACCTTTGATAAGGCGGAAGCTTAAGAAGGTTCATACAAGTGGCTGCTGTCGGTAGTCTATCCACTGATTCATTACTTGCGCTACCGGCAGCCCTGAACACACATGATGGATCATCATCTTTTATGATTGTTTTTACTGCCCAAAGCACGTCAAAAATGTCAAAAACGAACTTACCTCTGTATACAGAATGCAGGTTCCAGGTATTTGAAACCGAGCAGTGGTCCTCTTGAACATCCCGTCACGAATCTGGAAATGAAGATGATACAGAGATGTTAGTTACCTCTCGAAGAAGACAATTAAGATACTGAAAGAAACGGTGAACTTGTCTTACTTTAAGAACTTCTTTTGGTTTTCGGTTGAGAAGCTTTTCATAACTTCCCAGAACATATCAATCACATAATGTCCCTGTCATCGATGTAATTTCATATAAGAGTGTTCCAATTCACAAAATGGCATTTTTGGTTAGACAGCGAAAAGAAGATCAACTCACAGCGTTGTAGCCTCCAGCGTAATTCGTGTTGTTCCGCAAGTCGTCAATGTCCAAACTATCAACTGAACCAGATATGAGAACCTGAAGCTCATGTTCATTGAACATGTCGATCCATGCTTTCGGAATGAGTTGCTGAAAACCCCTCAAGAAATGAGAGCTCTGCTGGCGTATCTGCAACAGAAAAAACAACAAAAAAATGAGATGATATCAAATGCTAATTGGGTGGCCTCAAGGAAAGTTGTTGCCGGGTACCTGAAAATTCAACCGATGATTGGAAACCAAATGAATGAAAGTTATAACATTCTCATTTGTAACTCGCATGTCTTTTCCCCCTGGAAGCAGCTCTTCCTCTGTCCTCTCTCCATATTCATTATTCAGAATAACAAAGTAAAGCTCCAACTCTGCGATACTACCCTTATAACGCTGCAAGCATCATAAAGTAATTGGAATACATCAAAGGTGGATACAGCTATCTCTCGGTTCCAAAACGCATACAGCAAAATAGAAGTTGAGCAAAACTTACCTTCAGAAATATCAGATGCCGATACAACTCAGGATCCAGGGAAGGCAAATCGTTCAAGTAGTTGTACCTAGCCAACGAAAAATAAAAGTTTTACGACGTATTCGCAAGGTCTATGCGGGATGAACAAATAAATGAAATGGCAGGAATTTGAAGGTAAGTTACACTACTTTTGTTTTAATTTGCTGAGGAAAAACGTTGCAAATGGTATATCAACTAGAATCCCTTCAAACATGGCCTGCAACAAGGTAACAGGAAAAACATTTCATGAGTTTTATCATAACAGATGAAAATCAACTTTAATATAGAAAAAGGCCAAACTAAATATTTTTTTACGAAATCATCAAGACAGTTATACCCATACTAGTTCTATTTGGATAAAAACTTATAAGACTTTCGCATCAAGGGCACCAATCAAATACCATACTTTTGCTAGAAGCGTGCCGAGGAAATGAAAGAACTGGAGATGCTGATCATGTACCATCCCTGATCCAGGATTAGGATAAAGCATGTGATCAGAGGTCTCCTGAAAGAAAGCATGCACAAGATTCAAAAAATTAGAGAGACTACATGCAAACATGAAGGAGTGTGGTAAATAATGAAATTCACAAAGCAAAACTAGAAATGCGACCTTAAACAACCCATATTGCTTATCAAAGGCTGCTCGTGTAATTTTCTCCATGAAGTCTTTGAAAATGCCACCACCATCAATACCAGCTTCCTCAACTCCGAGTTCATTGACAAATGTCACACGAATCTACAGCCAGTAGTTAGTTGCTTTATAAGTATCGCAAAAGGAAACTCAGAGACACAGGAAAGAATATATGCATCTGTTGCAGTTGTGTACAAGCAAATGCTTGAAGACAAATATCAGGCAAGAGAGTAAACTTACCGATCCCCGGAGATCATCCTCTGACAATGCACTCATTTGATTGTAAGCATCTTCCAAGATGTGATCTCTTCGTATTCTGAACCGGTTTCGAGCCAAAATGCCTTGAGATCCTTGACTCTGCCTTGCCGTTGCTAATTGTGTCTACAAATTACTCACGCGCAAGTATAAGTTAATTAGCAGTCCTAAGGTTCCTCAAAAACCCAACAAACGACAATCATTCACCCGATATGTACATCCTAAAAACCACTCACTGTGAATATTTTGACTCTGCTTGTAAACGGAATCAGGAAAGGAGCTTGCATCAGTATGTAGTTGGCTCTCGTACCTTCCATTATGGCCTGGAGAAAGGAAAACGATATCAGCAATGGTAGGGGACAACTAAGACCAAATCATTCAAAATCAACGATAACCAAACTTTCAAGTGTTGACATATCACAAATATAAACGAAATAGAAGTGTAGCAGGCACCTGAGAGATGAAATATTCATTGACTGTATCAGCTTGGAAGTCGCTCGAGGAAGTGAATTGTTTCCGGTTATTCCAATCTTGCAACTGCGGGAAGATTTCATTGACAAAGAGAATAAAATGAACAATGACCTTTGCCAAGTTATACTGACTTACAGTCAAAATAGCCATAAAATGAACAATGACCTGTGAAAGTAACTCAGCGACTACAACCCCAACCCTGTTCTGAATCAAGCCAACAGGGTTCTTCTTTGAGAGGTCGTTGGAGACAGCTTTCCCAGTGTTAGGTTGCGCAAGTGGATTCACCCATAGTAACTGCCATAAAGCCTGGGAATAACGAGCATACACAAAAGAATTGCAAAATTAAAAGCACGGCACACTAGATGCTATTTTCTGGTGAGCCCAGTAGAAACTCTTATGTAAAGATTAGCAGAAAAAATGAACAACCACTGACGCAACCATATGAAAACGCAAAGCCACTCTAGGTTATCGATTTTGTATTACAGATAGCCATCTAAGGCCTTAGCTAATTGCGTCTTTAGATTTTGTATCGAGTGATTAAATTGTAAGTGTCTTCAATCATATCTCCTGAAACTCTTCACGTCAAAGTTACAACTTACAAGACTACTTAATGGGATCCTTTAAAATACTTACTTGCTTGAGAATGATGATAAGCAACCTATTATCTTGTAACGACAGTGGCTTCTCTCGTTCGTAAAACTCCTCATTGTCGACTATCGTCAGCATATGCCTGATCAGTAACAACAATGTTAAAGCAGGTTTAAGTATTAAATCACCCTCACAACGCTAACTTACATATATCAAGTAATACGAGAGAGTGATTTTCAAGTAGTTCTACAGAAAATTTGGAATTATATCAAGCAAGCCTTACTTATAAACAGGACAAAAAACAACCAGAGGTAATAGCCAACCCGGAGCATCCCCTGGAAGGTAAGCTAGGAGTTTAGGCATGGATGACCACTTCTGGTTCTCATGGCATCGCTTCATATAACTCCACAATACAGCTACAAGCTCGGTTCTATAAGCCAAAACTGTCATGATTCGCTCAAGAGGGAGTGTATTGAATGCTGCATACAGAAATGAACTGGCTGTGCCAATAGCTAGTGCTTCTTTATCTTCGTCATATGACTGCGTACCAGGCGAAACCTGATGGAACAAAACATTTGTCTGCATAGTTTACAAGAAAATAAATTAGATTAAAATTAAAGAACCACTTGACCCAGAGGAGGAATAGCACTTAATGTGTTTCCATATGACAGGGAACGGGTACATACTAACTGGAGAAGAAAACGTGAGTCTATAGCATTGGTGGTTATCTGCTGCTCCAGAGTCCTATTCAGGATTGATTCTGGTACATCATCAATCAACATATCATCCTCGTCAGAAGAGCCTGAACCACAATAAAAGTGCATGTCTATTTCAGAATAAGATCAAATTAATGAAGACTACCGCGTGCAGAATGGACAAGAAATTTAGGATAATAAAACAATGCCATGTGCAAGGTAATATAGCAAGAAAAAATGCCATACTCTGTCTGCTTTCTACTTCAGATGACTTCACGGGAGGAAGTGTCTCCAATAAGAAAGTTGCAACTGATGCAATGTCAATTGCCTGGTCAAAATAAAGAACGAAGAAGCAACAACAGAGTTAACAGAAGTGAGAGCACAACAAATTTCGAATGAAATAACCTGCATTAAGAACCTACCATGTCCAAAGAACATTCAGGCTGTGACAACACCACATTTGCAGTTTCCAACGTATTACCAAGAAGACAAGCATAACC